TACGAAGTTGATCAGGAATATGTACATATGCAGGCGAACCAAAAACACGGAATTTTGAAATGTCTGTTTTCTTCCCCATCCAAAGCTCGTATGGTGTTGCAACCGACTGAATCGCTCGAGTTATACTACGATTCATCACAAAAGTTGCACAATATACAGCTTCACCCCAAAATATGCGTTCCATATGTCCATCTTCGAGTATGGACCTTACCCTCTCTATCAACGTTCGATTCATTCGTTCCGCGACACCATTTAGTTGCGGTGTATACGAAATCGAATACTGTAATTGAATGCCAGATGCTTCGCATTGTGCCTTGAACCGATTAGATGTGTATTCTCCTCCATTGTCACAACGTAACGCGCCTATTTTCTGCCCAGTATGCGTTTCCGCCATTAATTTGTATTTCTGGAACATAGTGAAGACATCCAATTTTTCTTTGATAAGGTACACTGCCATAAAATGAGTAAAGTCATCAATAAATGTCACCATCCCATGTGGATGGTGAAATCGGCCCACAAACATCACTGTGTACCAAAGCCAACGTACGCTTTGATCGCGCTCCGCCTAAATTGGCGAACGGCTTTCTAGATTGCTTGCCCATGATACAAGGTTCATAAATAGTATCCGCGTCATCAACTAATACGCCAACACCGTTAACCAACGATGTCATTTTTCTTACATCGGCGTAATTCATATGTGCTAGTCGCCTGTGCCATAGTTTTAAACTTTGCTTTACACTGCCAGTGGATTTTATCACCGCGTGTGCGTTTTCATTCAAAATGCGTCTCATTTCAAATTCATACAAGCGTCCAATCCGCCGACCGGTGATTACTTCACTTGTACCACGCATAATATGGACCAATCCATTCTGCACAATCATTTCTAGACCAGCATCCTCCAATCGGCTTACCGAAAACAGATTATATTTCAAATCTTTGATGAAAAGTACATTAGTCAGTGTACAACGTTATTCATCACCATTCACAACAACAGTTCCTCGAATTATACCTCGCTTGTATGCTCGAATCGACTCACCACTTTTCGCAACACCTACAATAATTGGATCTTCCAAATCCCATAATTCATTGAACAATGATAGATCGTTCACCATATGTTCAGAAGCACCTGAATCAATTATGAAGCAAATTGATGATTTTGTGTGGCCAACAAAGGCAAATGTACTCGTGTCAGCAACAATCGCCACATCATCTACCGCATTTTCACTAATTGCCAAATTCGATTTTCCATTCTTCAAATTCACATTGTTCATTTTACTTGATCTACCGTTCTTCTTCTGAAGTAACTTTGGACATTCGTTGCGTTTATGACCTTCTTTCTTGCAAAAATAACAACGTATTACACCACCATACCTGGCAATGCTATTTGAACTACTTTGACCTGCATCCAAATTGCACGATTTGCTCTCTTCGTCTAACAGACGCGAGCGAACAATCTCCATTGTTAAGTTTTTAATATCCATCGTCTCAAGAGCAGTGACCACCATATCATATTTCCTTGACAAAGTCAAAAATAATGTGACAATTAAATTTCTGATATCCATTTCTCCTCCGCATGCTTTTAATTCGCGCACTAATTTGTCGAAGTTGAGGAAATGTTCAGTTAGATTACTTGAATCTTCACAACGTAGCAGTAACATTCGCTTTCTTACACTTATTTCTGTTGCTATACTTGTTCTTTCAAACGTTGTACGAAGCGACTGTATCATTGCAAATGCTGTTTTCCGTTCCTTCAAATACTCTAAATGCGAATCCGCAACACGACGAGTTATTTGTAAACGACATGCGCGATCTTCCTTAATGATTTTCGCAATTTCCACATTATTTTCACGGATATCAGGTTCTGTTACAGCTTTGGCTGCATCTGTTTCCAACCATTTTTCAATTCCTTTGTCCTCTAGCACTACTTGTAGCCGGAAATACCAATTGCTAAATTCTCGTCCATCAAATTGTCGGAACACAAATTTTTCCTCATCTGCCATTTGATTGATGTGTAATGTAATTCAAATTTCTAAGTTTCGGCTCACAAACGTTTTTCTTCAAACTGCACCAAAAACCAACCACTTCACAATGTGCTGAGATAGCCCATAACCTCTTGTTTTAATGTGGAAGATGAATACAAACTAATTCAATCAAATGATAACTTTCTATTTTATTTATTAATTGACAATTACCCTCAGCCGACTACTATCTATACATTCTACAAACTATATCAAGGAGTCGCTGAAGAAATTACCTTTTGAACTACAGCGACCTTTTCGAGGTCAAAAAGGGCGCTTTATGCCAATCTGTAGGTAATGTAGATCAAATCGGGTCTCGAAAAGGATATTTTGCGGCAACGACGAAGCAGCGTAAGTAAAATGAGCATATTATATCGGAGCAATTTACAAGAACGATTATCTCGAGAAACTTAAGAGAAAAGATTAAGGAAAGATAAAGAAACTGTGCCTCGTACTGATTATGTGCAAATACAAATTCGTAAAAGGCTTCAAGAGCAAACACAGACATGGAAAAGACAAGGAGAAACGACTCCAAAGATATATGGTGAAGATCAATACTAAAAGCCCTTATACAGGTAAACGAAAGTCAGTAGAAAAGTAACCAAACCAAAGAAAAATAATTGCATGTCACGAATAAGACGGCAGTATCTTCACTAAACAGGAAGAAGTACAGCTTATACGCAAGACCGAATTTAAATAAAAAGGATAGAACATCTGGCACGACCCCCATCGGCAAAACAAGGAACTATGAGAAGAAGAAATCTATAACACTTTGAGTGGCGAAAATAAAGAACTAGGGTAATAACAAATTGACTGCAGGAATAAGTTACACCTTTAAACGGGTTTACAAAAAAAATACCTAGATGGCGTAAGAATTTAGATCGGTAAAAAAAGTAACAACATTTGGCTCTGCATACGCGCAATCCATTTTCCGACATACGTTTTCAATTTAATTTTCTGTTCACACATGACTCCTTTAGGAGGTATTAGCTGATAACTATGATTCAGTACGCCAGAAAGTAAAAATTTGCAATCGAAGTGTAGGAGTATTTGCATTAATTTCCAGAGCGTTACACTTACGAATAAGTACATAAACGGAATTGCATTTCCGATCTCTGAACAATCATTTATATTACTGAGCGTAAGACTTTGGGGTAAATTCTAATGCAGTTTATCATTATTCCTTCAATTTATGAATTGATTTAGATTTAGATTCGACATTTTTTCAGTTGGTAGTAATTACATGGGATTATTATATTGTTTCAAGTCTATAAAGTTTGCATCATAAATAAAGCAGATCTGCATTCGACAATATTTATTGATTTAACGGTATTAACGTTTGGATTTTGATGGGATATTTAAATGTGGCGCTTTATCTGAGGACAACGTTCCCAAACTTTCTTGTCATAAATCTCCCGAAATTAAGTTTTGGATATACCCAAACCACATTATTTCTTTACTACAAAAATACATAAGAGATGATGGTTATAAAGGCAACGCAAAAAAAATTTCTGTGGCTAGCACAGATACCACCCGTACACCTGCGCATGCGCGAGCCTGCCCTTTTATCTCTACGAATATGTGTACCAAATTTGGTTCCAATCGGTTCAACCGGTTAACCGGAAAAATGAGAGTACAGACAAACCAATAGACCGATAGACAGATCGACACCCTCGAGATATTGTTTGATTCAGATTCCTGGTGCTTCAAAACGTGTATTTCCGTCAAAAAAGTGGTGGTCATTTTTTGGTCCACCCAATGCAATACCTACCTCCCTTACTAACGTGCGGGTGGTAAAAAGGTAAGCTTTACACGAGAATAAAAATAAACAATAAAAATAAAATGCTCCCAGTAAAGACAAACATATCGTATATAGTAAAGGGCTTTTCATTAAGAACGCTCGAACTTCGAAATGAAATAAAACAACCTGTTTAAGTTATATTGCCACAATTTTTATAATATTTTAAAGGATATTCGATGAAATTATGTATGGAAAATAATTTCAGCCAAATGGCCCCCGCGACTCCGCTGTGCATGTTATGTGGACCAATTTTGGACATCTTCGCTTAAACTGGGCTCAATTTCACAAAGAACTCGAGTTATGCTGGCATTTAGGGCAGTAATTGACTGTGGTTTGTCTGCGTAGACTAGGGAACTGAACTTTATATGGATGAATACTCAAGTCTAGCCGTCTAGGTGCAAAATCTGCAGATTTGACGTCCCAGAAAGACCCAGTTCTTTCGCACGACGCAGAATGCACTGTCGGGGGTTTTCTCGCACACTGTCCCGAACGGCAATAATATTCTCCAACAATCGTGCGTTTCTTTTGAAACACAGGAACTGCTTCATCAATCACTGACCCCGTTGTCTCAAATTTTTTATTAAACAACGCATTGTGGATTCTGCAGGACGGCCATTAAAGTCATAAATTGGACGCAACGCACAGAACGTTAGGCGAACGCAGCACTGATTTTGATAATCAATTTTAACAATTTCTACGCGTTTTTGAAGGGTGTAGCGTTCCATGGTGAAATGACAGGGCTAAATAAGTACCTACTCATGCCAAATTTGACCTATCGCTTTGCCAAGATGGCCGCTATTCGCTGTTAAAGTTCGAGCGTCCCTATTGAAAAACCCTTTATAAATCAAATATGCATATGCACCGACTACGCAAAAAAGTCAACTTTCTTACGTCTAGAGATAATTTTTACCATAGATGGTTATAGTAAAGGCAAGCATCTCAAAAAGTAAAATCAGATGTGCGCATGCGCAATGCCAACGATGCACAGCATTACTGAAAACCGTTGCTTCAGTACAAACCCGAGCATGGCTATCTGAATTATTATGAATTTTGTATGGGGCATACAATACTTGCGCGGTTCCCAACGATAAAAGTTACGCCCACTGCACGCACCGTGGACACAGAAGCAGCTGTAATTCTGAATACAGGGCGAGAATTCTAAAAACTAAATTTAAAAAAAAGACCATGAGAAAATAAATGTATTGTATAACACACATTAACCTTAAAGATCTAAAAACGGAGCTTCCTTAACATTAAAACTGCAAAATAACTGATCATATTACAATAAATAGCAACAACAATCACTTTTTAAATCTAATCTGCACTTAGCGCTGCAAATTTATTTGAAGAAACTGGTCCCTCATCTTCCGAAGAGTCAGTATCTTCATTAGACTCAGAGGCTGAACCAGTCGCAGCATGAGACACTGATACACCAACCTCTTCGTCTTCTTCATCATCTGTCGCTTCGTGAAAGTCACCCGCTTCTTGTTTGACAACGTTTCCCATTATCCATTTCACTGTCGCATTTTCGGGATGACTACACCAAAGCTCTGCAAATTTGATGATTAGATGAGAGTACTTGTTCGCCAAGAACCACAATATAAACAATTGAATTCGCGAACGTACCTAGATCCTTGAAGAAACCTGGAGGTTTCAAACACAGACAAATTTTACCATCCAAAGCAAAACGAAGTAAGTTATTAGCTGCTCTGTACGTATCCAACCTTGCCGCTTTCGCGGTGACAAACCCCCTCTTTTTAGCCCACGCCTCGCATATATCCATAGCGGACCAGTCGTCATCATTTTCCGGATGTTGTAAGCGCAGCATCTTTTGTAAATCCAAATTTTCGGCTAGAAACGAAATTCGAAAACTCGGCCAATTTCAACGGTAGGTACAAACCTAAAAACTTTATAGTCGTGAACGGCTCTCGAAGTTGCGCGATCGGAAAGCAACCCATTAAAACCTGCAACACCTTCGGAACTTTCGAGGGAAAAACCAAGCCGGGACAGTCGCACAATTTCACATTTTGAGTAACGAAAATGGTCTGAAAGTGCTTAGTATGGCCGGGAGTCTTCGAAACGCTGACAACTTTTTTCCCCATGATAGCGTTAATCACCGATGATTTTCCAACATTCGGATGCCCAATGCAACCAATTGTAAGAATACCGTTTTTATATTTTTCGTGCTCGAAATATTCGGTTTCCGGTTTAACTACGTTGATCAATTCGTCAACGTCGACTTTGTCATCGTGCCCGTTATCCTGCAGTTCGGTTTTGACCTTATCTTGCCACGCTGATAAATCCACCTCATCGCCAACGATTTCTTTACAGACATCGATTAGTAATTGTGTTCCTTCCGCCGCTATTTGAAACTTCGTACGCCGGCGGCGTGACTGCAAGCCTCCTTGATTGGCTTGATTGCCGATTAAATTGTAGGTCGGCAATGTGGTGAATAGGAGGATGTGCAGTTTCGGATACTTTACTTGGAAGTACGCCTTCCAGGCGACAACCAGCTCAGGTGGCGCCAAATCTATTTTGTTTAAGACCAAAATCATGTCCTTATTTAATTTTTCTGACACGTAAGTGTAGAGTGATGGCGGAAACATCAATCCCTACAAATTATTTGCGAGTTAAATAGTTGCTATTAGTACAGGAGTCAGTGTAGACAAAAGTATACTTCATAATTAGACGATATTCTTGCTCCATTCTCTTTCAAATTTACCGCCTAATAATATTATTATTATTATACCGCTTATCGTCGAAAGTACGTGTCACTTTTTCATATAGCGTAACGGACCACCCTTTTCCGCTTCGAAGTTACATCAGTTTTACTTACCACCCGGTATTTAGAAGCGTTTTAAGTTGGGCGCTTCGTTACGAAAGTGCCCTGCCGAAAGTATTTGTGTTGGTTCTATGAGTTGAAGATCGAAGGTATACTAATTGATTTAATTTCTAGAGTTGTGTTTCAGCCGCCATTACCGTAAAGAAAAGCTGTAATTAATTCGCCGTTTGCAACCGTTTCCGTAAAAATATTTCAATTATCTTTGTTGCGTCCGAAAACTCGTCATTTAAAAGACGAGGGCGAATAATATTTTAGAATTTCAGCTCCGTTACGTCATTATTAGCGTGTTTTAGTTTCCCATGTTAATTAAAAACAAGCTTAAAACCAGTCGAGGCCGTGCAGTCTACGTGCTTATCCGCAAGCTGACCCTGTCGGTTGATCTGGTGTCAATTAGATTACAGAATTTTGGAATTTCATCTCATCCATTGAGGCGAGTATAATTAACGATAGCTGGTTAAATGAGATGCAGTAAACAGAATCCGATTAAGTCGTGAGTGATCTCAAGAGAAGCGCTCTTAATTAGGTAATTTAAATGTCAAGACCAATTGCACATTTTTAGGACGTCCGCAAGCAGCCCAGTAAATTTACTTGGGCAATCGTGCCGTATTTAAATTATCGATCTTTTGCCTTTGGTGTTTAGCTAGTGACATTTGTAAGTACCGTACTCATTTTTGATACTTTCCCTAAATTAATTTTGAATTGGTACCGTTCAATTTTTGCTTTTACATTAAGTTTAGCGCACCGTATTTACCGCCTTTCCTTTTTTTGCACTCAAAATTCTACCACTAGTTCTAATTGCAAGGTAAGCTTTTTGTTACTTTCTGTTCCACTAATTATTAGGGGGACAGTTTCGCTTTCTTGCATTTGATTGCCAGTAGCTACCGCTAATTAAATTATGCTTTGTTGCTTGCGTTCCCGTTAAGACAATCGCTACCGTGTCCATGTACTCTAATTCTGCTTTCAGATCCTTGGCCAGAAGCCGATCGCCTCCGTCAGCAAGATCTCTGGAGACCATTTCTCCGACGTTTTGTCTGTAGCATCCGTGTCAAGGGACAAGTCCGTATCCTTTGGTGGCGCTCGAGTCCGTCCGTCTGTCCCGTTCCGTCAGCTTTCGTTTGAGTTGAAAATGATGATTAAATTGTGAATGTATAGTTTCTTTGAACTTAATTTTTAATTTAACTAAGCACAGCGTTTAATTTTAAAAATTGACCCATTGCGTGCGAACTACCGAAGTTCGTCGCAATAGTTAAATTAAAAGCATCAACAAATACATTGTCAATTGTAAAATAACTTATTTCAGTATGTATATCAAGTTTTGAAATACTTTACTTACCGCTAGGATAGTTTATAAAAAAATAATTTTTTATAAAAACACGATAGTTATTGATATAAAAGTACCTAATAATGGAGCAATTTTTTTATTTAAATGCTTTTGTAAATAAGAAAGTGCGCATGCGCAAAACAATATTTTCGAAATTATTTCGTCAACCAAAAAAGAAGTTACAGAAAAAAAAATAAGAAAACCCGCCGCCGAAGAGATGGACGAATTTAAAGAAACCAAAGAATATAAAACTGATGAATGAAGATTTGGAAAAATCCAAGTCGGATGAATTCCAAGAACCAAAAAAAAATCCAAATGGCGCCAAAAAAAATGGTATGGATTATAGTTTTACACTAACTTGTAATTAAACTTCCAAACACTCATCCGATGAACTTAAGATTGAGATTTGGCTGACCGGGTACTAAACAAAAGCACCTGTGTCCAGATAAGTAGTTTTAAATTAAATGTTTCCTTATTCTATTTAAATGAATGTACGAAATTAATGAAACACAACAGCCCTTAACTTACTTATAAGTCCCTAATTTCCAGTCATAAAAGACACTACAACATTACAATTACCAATAAATAAATTTAAAAATTCTGTGTCCATCTGACATGTCCCTCAGGTTCTAAACAAAATAAATAACAACACTATACAGGATGTCCCATCTGAAACTTTCCAATGTCAAAACCACGTTCACATCACGTAGCTTTTCAACTACACGGTGGCTCGCTCTCATCGTCTGCATTTACATCATTTAATTCTCTACCCACTCTCTTGTCTCATTTATTTATTTATTTTATTCTGTTTTTTTATTAAATGGGCTGGGTTTCTGCCGAGCCTATAGATACCTGTATTTTTTCCGAATGATGAGCTCTTTTAAAATATACAACAAAAAATGCATGTCTGTTAACACAATAAAAGTTGATAATGGCGATATTCGTCAAATTTAATTGGAATAAAACAGAAATTAACGAAAATAAAATACCATTTGCATCTAAACGATGTAGTGTTAAAAATACCCCCCTTACCACACATCGTTAAATTTAATTACAGAATGGAATGAGCTTTAACATGATCGTGGATCATGCCATCTGACCTTTTTAAACAATTTATAATAATTTTTCATTGTAAAGTACCTACCACTTCTTCTGTGGAATGCCTACTCAACATGCTCATGAAAAAACAAAATTTCATTGTACATCATTATAAATGTGACTGAAATTTTCCTGATTATGACGTACGGTTTTGTCTATACCAACTCTCATACGACCTAAATTAGTTAATTACCGCAAATCTAATATCGACGATAAATAATATGATATCGGACATTTCCAAAACCCGCCACAGCTGCCTCCAGGTTTCCAAATTCAGTTCAAAGTAACCCAATTCCTTCCAATCGAAGCTTTTCTCGATATTAACTATGTATTTCTGAAACAGTTCAATGGTTATCCTTGCTAGATACGAAAAGAATCAACTAACGGTGAAATATTCGTTCTCCTTCATATTTAATTTCTCTAAAGACTCCTTGAAAGACCACGGCGGTCGTTTCGGAAAGTCGAGTTCGGGCACAAAGCAACTGTCGTAGTCAATTTCTAGGTCTTCTTCCTTCGCTTTATTCAAAGACTGGCAGGCTAACTCCTTACGTTCCGTAATTTCAGCATTCGTTTCGCGATAAAATTGCAGAGCGTAACGGTTTGGTTTAGAACTCGATTTTGTCGTTTTGTAGTCGTTGACATTGAGGACGCCTCTCGACGAGCCCTCGTCTTCATCTCTATCGTAGTTTTTGTGCTGAAGACTGCCTGTAAAATGTTGAGGTTAGGGTGGAATTTCAAAAATTGTGAAATACTGGTCACCTACCCAATTTATTTGTCTGCCCCTTTTTTAGCTGCATTTTTGCCTTGTGGCTGATTGGCTTTCTTCGACGTCCCTGTGGCATTTTGATTAATTTTTTAGATTTCCAAAACAAATAATTCAATTTCAAATGGTTCAAAATATGCTGTGTCTCTATGCACGTTTACGCAAATTAGATATTTTGTCGGTGTCTATTGCAACCGATTTTTGTACATGGTGTGCTGTAGTAAAAAGGAATGGTTTTGGACAAATTGAATTTACCTGTTGTTGTTGATAGTTTATTAGAATTTATACAGGAATGTCATCAATATATAAATTTTAGGTAATTGTCAACCGCAAGTGGGGTTGTCACTAATTTCTCTCTAGAAGTTCGAATGATGAGTGTTTCACTAGGTGAAGACGACCTCTCAAAAATACTGTATTGACAAAAAACGATATTCCACTTCCTGACTGAGACATTGTCATATTCACATAGTAATCTTGTTATCCATGTGTCCTTCCACTGAATGACAATGACCTTGGTAGCTCCTTCCTAGTACAGTGACTTAATTTAATTTAATAGTCACTGTACCTCCTAGCGCTCTGATGTTAAATAAATTGTCCTAGAATCCTTGTACCGAAAATACTGGGTGGCATATTAAAACCAAAACTGTGTTGATGCCTTGACTATGTTTAAACGTGTATTGGTTCCAGACCGAGAGTGGACATTTCCTCTATGCCATTATTCGTAATCATACTCTCATCAGACCATATTTTTGGATCAGGTCATGTGTTCTCTTGGAATTTTCTTGTGTACCTTTCGCAGAATGAGCGACGTCTTTCTAAATCACCTGGTCTAAGTCTATCAAAAATTCCTGGTTGGATTAAAAATTTACCTCACCTTAAAGAGCATTAAAACGTTGCTGTGTACAAGTGTCATTGGTTTTGCTCTAGGTCAAATATTAACGCCAGAAAAAAATAGTTAGAAAAATTCGATTCTTTACTTATTTACGAATGCATTTAAATTCAAATTAAAAAGGTGTTAATTGCCATTCGAATCCTTTGTGCAACCCGGACACTTCTCATGTCAGATTTACCCGATTTACAACACTGAACCAAGATTTATTTCAGGTGTTGATCAAATTTTGTGTACTAAATTCTTTCGAATTTTTGGAAGTTGATCGAGGCCACCAATTTTCCGAAATCATTAGATGTTAGATCCTGCACAAAACTAGACCTGAACTTCCTGTAGAAAGAAAATTCCAAACTCTTATCAAGAAAATGAAAAATATATAATGTTAACCAAAAATCCTTTGTGTAACAACATTAGAAAATTGCAAAGGTAACTGAAAAACAAAACTAGTTGGTATATACGAAAAAATCTTTCGTAAGATCTTCAATCTTTTTCCTACAATGTATGGCATTGTCTTTATATGCAACACTGCCTTCCTGAATGTACGAGCAAATGCTCAAGCCGGTATCGATGAAGGTCTTAATTTTCGAGGCACTCATTGATTCTACAACAGAATATAGAAGTTTGGTACACAAAATATCTTCAGCTACTAACCTAAATCGCTATTTTTACTTCTAAACTCGATGAAATCATTAATCGTGTACATAAACTGCTTCCGTAAAAAGAGACCGAAAATGGATCTCCAAAATTTCTTGAACAAAGAAAGACATTTTTCCAAAGTCCAGGGGGGAACCGTCAGTTCTGGGTACATTTTAGCCCGAGAAGACCCGTACGCGTCGGTCGTTTTCGAGTCGATAATATAACTAAATAAAGTGGAAAATTCTCCCTCCACTTGTTTCACTTTGCTATAGTCGAAACCGGGTCGTAATTTTAAGCCGTCGCCTGTATCTCGATACGGGTCCAGTCCTTCTATGATTTTCTGATGCGAGTATGCTAACACGCCGTTAATTAACGCTTTGTTGCGTAAATTTATGTCATTAGAAAGTAGTATCTGAAAATATAAAATACATTATAACGCACTCTCCGGTAGCATTTTTCCGCAACTGAGGGCGCTAATTGTGTAGGAAACACATGTAAGATCTGTAATTCCGTTCCCTAAGCGGTGAACGCAAAGTATTAACTATACAGTCACTGTGTGAAACATATGGAGCATTATCCTAAAGCGCCCTCTAGCAGATATGAATAAAGGAATAGTGTACGCTTGTGAATAAAAACTCTAGTTTTGAAAAATCCACGACAGAATTTTTTTGATCACCCTGTTTGACCCTCTTTTCATCCCTTATTTCACAAGAGAAAATATATGATATATCATTTTGTTTCCACGTGTCCTGATTTTTTATATTTACAAAAATGTACTTCAATTTTTATTATTCTGAGACACAGTCAAGTGCAATTTGTATTGCCTACCCGGGTACATAAATAATAATAATAATAATACTCTTTATTTCCATCGACACGGGATAGTAGTGCATAGGATGCGTCAAAAAGTAAAAATTCAACAAAATTCCGGAAGTAGGTACTACTTACTGCATTGTGTTTCCTCTCCTTAATCTGCAAACAACAAAATAGTATCGAATCGTCCGCATTTTTGCTTGCAAAATTTTGCTCGGCTGCGTCCAGCACCGATTGCCCTAAAAAAATTCCTCCGAAATTACATCAACATGCGGCAAATCGAAGCTATTACCTTTCACTTGTTTATCCTGCGCCGATAATTTTTCATTGATAAATCGAATGGCCATCTTCGCTTTTCGCCCCAAGTCATTTTCGCCTATAGAGTCCTTCAAATAGTCCAATTCTTGAATTACAGTCCAAGGAATCATAATCGATGGATTGACAACTCCTGAAACTTTAAGAGTACAGTTTTTCAGATATTTGTTGTAAAACCCGCATCAAGTTAGCAATAGACATTTTTTTAGTGCACACTTCAAAAAGTAAATTGAAGTACTGATAAATAATAGAAAATGTAAAAATGTTACCCTCCCCCCCTAGCTCCCCCCTGTCACCACATTTATAAAATTATCCATTTTTAAAAATTTGCTTAAAAAATGTATTATTGAAATCACCTGCTGAATTGATGTGGGTTATTTGTAAAGGTGATCGAAACAATGGAACAGCTTTTTGTTACATACATATGTGTTACATTTTTTTGTGTCATTGTTATCACACCAATAAATTATTATACATACCGTTGATTTCTAATGAGAGCAACTCCTCGATAAGACCCAAGTTAGAGATGAAAACGTTGGTATCAACCACAATGTAAATTTCACGAAACATTGTATCGTTTACTTCCATTTTTTCGAGAGTAGTTGAAATTTTCTCTTGGAAAATGCTCATCGGCGTAAGTTTTGATATGACGTTTTTCTTTCGCAACTTGGTGATCTAAAACACAATTTCAGCACGTGAAATCACTGAAAAGTTTATGTACACTAAAAATATGCTAATTCACAAATTCACCCTTAAATATTATACAGTGAGCGGCTAAAATATGAGAAAAATTCATTTAAAAATCAATAAAAATACTGCTCCATTAAAAAAATCAACTTTGGAAAAATCTACTTTTTGACGCACCCTGCATATTTTCTCTTTAGTGCAAAAAATGCGCAAAAAAATTATGATAGACGTTTTTAAATGAATGTGTTCCATATTTTAGCCGCTCACTGTATACTAATACTGAAAATACAATGTAAACAATATGTCATGACTCCTGACTGACTTTGATCAAGGTAATAATTTTCCAAAAGGTAAGGGTTCGTTCACTAATCACGTGACGCTCGAAAGGGGGGAGGGGTTTAAAAATCAAGAAATATCGCAACGGGGAGAGGGGGTGTAATGAGAGGCATTTATTTTTTCGCTGAAACGCGCGATTTCTAAACCGAAAACGTTGCAGTTCCGAGGCAAAGATTTCTCCGCCCACTGCGACAACTACCTGGCTTTGTACTTAAAAAAATACACAGGCTTTTGGCTGGGGGAGGAGCTAACCACGTATCACCAAGCAGCAGGGCTGCTATCTCTAAAATCCGCCAACTAGGACAGGAAGCGTGAAAACCCCGTATTTAGGGATTATAAACCCGGCCATATCAACTGAAATTTGATTAAAAAATATTTTCAAAAGAAATAAAACAAACAATTTATTTTTCTAAATAAAACAAAGCGTTCTCTATCACGAAACAAAATCTTCTTTAACTGTTAGGAATCAGCAACGGCTTACCTACATTTTTGAATTCTTTAAATGAAACAATAATTTTAACAAAATAAAATACAAGTTATAGGAAGTTTAATAACAATAATTTTTAAATGAAACAAACATTTGGTCTTTTAATAAAAAAAAATGTTTAAGGAACTATTTACATTTCAGGTCTTCGGTCTTCCGTCTTTCCAATAGCCTTTCGAATATCTTCCTTACTTAAAAGAAATTTAAAAAATCTACACAATTACAGTATTGTATTTTATTTATATCACTGACGAGACTGTTTCAATGTCCAGCGAAATAATGATAACAGCGACAAAACATATTAAATATCAATGAAAATATTATACAGCGTTAGACTTAATTTCAGAAGTGTATAGTGACTGAGTAGATGTGTCAGTAGCCTAAAACCCGGACAACCAACAAAACCACGCCCGGACGCCCCTAAACTAGGACAAATCTGGGAAAACCCAGACGGATGGCAACCCTAAAGGAGGAGAGGGTTACAGGTTACCCCTATGGGCACATACGCTAAAACAGTCCTCACTGTCTATCAAGGTACAAATTTATTTTCATGGATAATTAGATCAAAATGAAAATAATTGAAAAATCTTGGGTTAAAAACTTTTGTCAACAATTTAATAAGCCGTGTCATATGATGTAATAATATACAGGGTATTCCATATAAAAATCTTACATTTTTCTTATCAATACGATGCTGTTTTGTTTTTTTAATTACAGATCTGGCTTCAGCAGACAAAATATTGAGTTATTTAACCGTCTTTCTAACTCTACAACAAAATTGAAAAAAAACAACTTTCGGAAAAGTAATCACAATAAATCCTATACCTACAATACCTTCAAATGTTAAAAAATTTCTTAGACATTCCCTGGAAGGTCTTCCAAAAAAACCTTGAAATACACTGTTCAATATTGGCATGACATAATGCAGATTTGGAGTACAATGTAAGGTGGCAGACCTTCACTTCTACCACTTTGAAAACTGGAAACCTTACACCCCAAATGAGTAAAAGGCGAGCCGAATTTAAAAATATCAAGATTCGGACTTGACCCCCCCCCCCCCCAAAGGTGGGTGCCATTTTTTACTTTTTAGTTCAGAATCTGTGTTCTGTTTACAATTTTTAAGTTTTTTGAATTTTTTTTTCTTCTATGAGATCAAAGTCGCTGAATGCAAGTGTTAATTTCTGCACAAATTCTTTTAAATACACGAATCCAGAAATGAATATGTTCATCTCATTTGTAATGTAAAAAACAATTTTGCTCAACTTCGAAGAGTAGTGATGTAAACGAGCATAGTACACGGCAAACATTAAACCAACAACTTACATTGTCAAGAACTTCCTTCTCCTCAAACGCACACCAGTCCATCGCCTCATCTTCGCTATTGTTGGTGTCATTTGATGTTGATCCATCTGGGAACAGTAAGTTCATACTATCCTGTACTGCACTGGTACCAAATGGGGGGTGAGCTGACGTCGACGAGGAAGGAGGTTTGAATGATTTTTTCAAGTTTTTAAGTCGTTCTTGTATACTAGAAGGTTTCGCCGTCCAAGAAGGTTTGGTATTTGAGCATCTCGATGAGGAAGAATTGGTGCATGAACTGTTACTGTGTACCTCGGAATGATTCGATTCTGACCCGGTACCGAAACTATCTCTCAACTTTTTTAAACGGTTGTTAGCCGAAAATAGGGTATTGCGAGAGTTTGCAGGATCGTACGGACTAGTTTGCCGTTTCGATTGGTCGGTGCTTGAGTACGGGCTAGTTCGCGGTTTCTGTATGTGAATTGGTGGTGGAGATTTATAGAAAGGCTGTGGTTTGCTTGTGGTTTCCTTTGATGCATGTGTCGAATTTTGATCGCTTGCAAAATTCACAGATGGATCTTTGAAGAAGGTAGGTTGATGGGACTGTGGACCGTTCGAGAAACGCGAGCGTTTGCCAGAAGTGTCTACATCCTCTAACTTCCGTTTTCTTATCAAATTAATGGACTTGTTTGCTCTTTGCATTTGCCTACCACTACCATTCATTGTGGGTGATACATAAATTTTATCAGGTAGTGTACCTCGAAATCACAATTTGTTTAATACTGAATTTCACCAGCGCGCATTTAACGTAAATATAAGACTGTTCAAAAGTTAACCTGCTCAATTTTAAAAAGAATTGTGTCTCAACTACCGACCAATAATATGAGATTTGCGTGAACGATAGTAGCAATAACCACCATAATACTAATGTTCATACAGGGTGACCCAGTATAAAGATTCGAAATGAAACAAACGCGCCAAGTTTTGTAGATCATAATTTGTTTGTCTGATATTTTAATGTTGCTTCTTCTTATATTAGATTGTTGATTTACTCAATTGATGGTGTACCAAGAATTACAGTGTACAAGATGAACTATATAATCATTAATCACACAACTTCATTTCTTACGGATACGTCAACGTCACGTACTTAATTGGTCCATTTTAAGTATTTTTCTAAAGTGGTAAGGTGGATGCGGTCACAGCTGAAGTAGTTTAATGCTCTACGTTTGTTGTACAGTGGACAGCCAATTCTCAAGTTTTGTTGGTGTCTAAATAAAATGAAAACATTGTTATCGCTCTGATTTCCAGGCATACTTTTGTTCACGTTCGCTATGAAACGGTATATGGGTAATGTGTAAATTTTCCTATGTTAAACCAATACGTTATATACTTTTTGGTTAAACCAAATTCAAATTTGAAAAACTATGAAATTGAAAATAGGTCTCTACTTGAAATAGGACGTTTTATGATTAATAAAGCACTAGATCAACTGCTGCATACATGCTAAACAACTCCTTAAAATGAAGACAATAAGTGCCCGTATATGAACTTTAGCATAGAAAATGATAATTTATTATTCTTAAACCTCTACGAGCTATTGGTTGTTACACCTCTATAGAAACACCGCTTCATCATTTGAATTTTGAGGAGAGAACGGCCTCTTCCTACCTCAATTTTTCCAATGTGCTAAAACGCAGCCAGATGTATTTACACGAGGGGAGCGTTAAAAGTATTTGGACCTTCCCGCAGCTTAACCAAAAAAAGTTGCGCAATAAACTGTTATTATCATGCTATGAAGAAAACAAGAAAATTCCGATTACTTCCGAAAGTATACCAGAAAAACCAAAATTTTCCGATTTTGATTTTATTTTTTCTGATGTTATTTGAACAGATAGGTACAGTTTATAACACCTCGCTACCTCACATCTCGAGAACGGAACACCAGGAAAGGATGCTCGCAGACGAAAAGTGGACTGCTGTTGTTAACATTCAAAGTGCGAATACCTCAATAACGAAGAGTCGAAGTAGCCTCTACTCACAAAAGGAGAAATGGAATATCTAGTCCGAATATCACGAAAACCCATAGGAAATTTGTTTGTTTGGAGCTACTTGCCTTTGGCAATCGTTCATATGAATATACTATTGGGCTTTAAATGTTGAATTACATACTTTTAGTAGTTCAACTACGCTGTAAAGTGTTTAATTTGCTGTTAATTTTTCGAAAGAAATGATGGTTTTGTCCGTTTGTTTCTCGAGAACGAATAGAGACAGCGGTGTCAAACGTTCGCCAATCGATTTCTACGAATTCAAATTCTATTGATATTAGCCGGATTAAAAGTCGGGTTCCCGAATACGAGCTGAGTGCCAAGAAATACCCCATCATGCTTAAATTTCATTAATCACAAAACAAGACGGGGCAAGTCAAACCCAACAATTTACCTATAACTTAGGAAAGTGCAAATGTACGTTTTGTTACAATTCTGTGATTAGGGTAGGATGCAATCCCTTCGTGAAAGACGCACAACAGCATGTGTATCTAGCTACGTAGCCTTACTTCCAAACCCACCCTTAAAAAGATGATAGTGTTCAGTACATGGGCACCTATGTAAAAATACGAGAAAGTAAAGCAATAAGTACCTATGCCTCAAGAACACTTCTGATTTTCATAGTATGGGTCTATAAAGCAATTCTGCTATTTATAAACCGCCTAGCGATAATTATAATCGCTTCTTCAGTTCGGCCATAAACACATATGGGGGCGTTTGTATCTCTTATAATAGAATCGACCGCTATTTAAAAACCAAATCCGTGGCATTGGGTGCGTGACAAATTATTTTCGTACGTGCTACAATTAAAAATTGATGGATAGGAGAGGTACTTTTGGATTTGTTTACATTGCGTGATCAGAAAATACTGCAACGCTTTTGTAATGTTGGGGAAGTCAAGGTGCGGAACGATTCATGAATCGCTCGCCTTCCTTTCGAACGCAAAAGTTCCCCCCTACACTTTTACAACCAAACAGTAGTTGACGGCTTTTATATTTTGCTTTATAGAAGCGCGACATTGAATTTTTCTTCAGAAACCAGTTTCGAATCAAACTGCGATGACGCGCGCGGGTTATACGAATTAATTCAAAATGTTACGCGAAAAATGAGTTCCGAAGTCAAGGGGGATGGATTTTAATGTTTGCTTTCCGAGGATTAATTCTTTTGGAACGTTCAGAAACGTAAGTTTTTATGTTTTTTGCGATGTATTCCTCAATGTATTTCAATTACTTCATCGAGTACTTTAAATTTTTGAATCTTTTACTTATACCTACGCGTGCAAGGACACGATGGGAAATTGTATTCAAATTAACAACCTAATTTTGAAATAATTGTGTGGAAAATCCACTTTGTTATTAAATTATTACTGAAGCAAGTTTTAAAAGACGACATTATGGTACCTCGGTTTTTCACTCTTCAGTTTTTGAATCGTCAAACTTTCCTTATATTCATTTAGTGCATTAAGTTAATGGCTATAGGTACTCATCATTAGTCATAGATAAATATTTATGTTACATCGCAATTATACATATCATAGGTATACATATTTGTTTATTTACTTACTATGATGCAGCCAATTTGTACCCAAAAGAGGCCCTCGCAGTAAATTTGTGGGGTAAGTTTTGCTCTTAAAATGTTGACATCACCAATGGATTATATTTCTTCCAGACGTCCCAATAACTCTTTGTAAGTACCCTTTTCCGCCACTCCCGCTCTAGAGATATGAGGAATTATCACCGATTACGATAATAAGGCGTCGAGGAGGATGACTGTGATTGGTAGAAATTAATTCATTTCGTTGAAATAAAACCAATTCCCCGATTTGGTAAGCGGTTGAGGAGCAAGACTGTCACCCTCATCTCTCCCTCGCCCATTGATCTCGAAAACGTGTTGCAGAGGAAAGTTATAGTTTCTAGAAACCAATTCCTTTCGATGAAACCTTTCATTAGAATACAAAAAACGCGCCTTATAACTTTTTACCCAGTATTTCCTCTTCTGTCTTTTTTTAGTTTCTTGTTCAACTCCCACTGACATTTCCCAAGGAAATATTTCATCCTCACTAGATGAACATTTTAAAACCTGGATACGGCACACGCAAAAACATACTATATTTCGTGCCTCAGAGATAGAGGTCCGATTACTTATATGATAATTGCGCTGTAATCATATCTAAAGAAGTGATGAAATAAGATTTGCTTAACAATTTTGTTGAAACTAGGAGAAGACTTATAAAACGGTACGTATCTTATCTTCTTCTCACCATCGCCATTCCCATAATTTTAACACATGTTAATTGGGAGAAATTTCTGTACTTACAATGGTTGCTCAGGATCCCTCCTAATCTAACCCTGTAGATAATTAAAAGGAGTGTATTATAGGTTAATAGGTACCTACTCATTTTCCATTGCCTACTATTTTGACTTTTGATAATATATAAGGAATTTGGATTCCATTTACATATAATTAACGTATATAATTGAAGGTAGGTACATAATCAATTTAATTATTAATTATATTACACAGGCGGCAAGGCGTCAATATTTTAAATAATATATAGGTCATTAATATTAGAAAAAGAAAAGTAATGAAGTTAATGCCTTCAAAGAGGAATTATTAACCCCCAGATCACTTTCCGGACAGTTTTATTGATACACTCATATATTAGTCAATTCCTATTGACAAAAATTTTATGAGAGAGCTGTTCCAAGTTGTTCGCTGATAGTCGCGTTCGAGGCTTTAATATATTATTGTGGTTTGTTGATGTTTTTGTCTTACTTTTGCAAAGAGTAGGTAATACAATTTGGCAACAGTTGAATGAGTAGGTGAATAGGAAAAGTAAGTAAAGTGTTCACTTTAACGGCAAGGGTAGATAAAGTGAAACAAATGATTGTGCATTCTAATGACATCTGTCATTCTTATTATAAATGGGACGCGTATCCCGAAATAAAATTCAGAATTCAGACTCGGAATTCCGCCTTTGAACTCAAAATTCCGACTTTAAACTCGGACTTCCACTATAAAATAAAATACTTATGGCCGTTCTACGCCTTTGTACAGAATACAGTCCTAAAACCAATCGCATCTGGATTCGTGCCACAGGTAAGGCCACACGTAACCTCGTATCTAAATTACGCAGCCCGGCATATTCGCGCTCAAGAAAGTTTCCTTGAAATACTCGCCCCTAAGAGTAAGTACTCAACGCAAAATCATCCTCAGAGTATTAGCTCGCAAGAAAACTCACCCCACAAGGTTTGTACCCGAAAAAATCGGTTCTTGGGCCGGAAACTTCGTTCCCGCAATATTCTCATCCAAAAAAAGCCACCATCAAATAAATTTGCTTCTGGAATATTGTTCTTCCTCTCGGCAGAAGTTCAACGTCGCCCATAAAACTCCTCAGAATGTGGGCCCAAAAGGTTGAATATTTGTCTCTCCCTTTCTCTACAAGAAAAGATTTAAAGGAAAATTTAATTTTGGGAAGAGTTAGAAGTATATGTTAGTTAGGTAAGTAATTGCGAGAAACATCTTGCGTTGTTTTTGCTAATGTTAAGGTGAAATGAACTGGAAAAACATTTATATTTCCATTTAATGGACTTTTGAGTGCTATTAGCTTCTCGCATGTTTCACTTTCAATTTCACAATAAAACAATGTTCATTTATGGTAGATAAGTACATCAGCGAGGAAAAAATGCGTACCTACCTACCTACCTAAACCTACCTTACGTAACGTGAGCAAATTTTCCAACTCCGGAAATAGGATAGTGTTATGAAGTATGAGAACCTTCACACATTTACAACCTCTATGCACGTATATCTTTTGGGTTTGGTCATTCCGGTAGCCTTCCATAACTCACCGGAGGCAAACCTAAGCCTCATTTTTGTATGAAATTCATTGGCCGGAAGCGATAAAAACGTTCTATTAATTGAAACGTTCAAAATTCGTTTCGTAACGGACTCAACTTTTCATATTAGACACCTGGTTTTGAGATTATCATCATCAGATGATCATGTCCATTTCCCAAAGAAAGAATCTTCAAGAGATCTGCACTATGCAGCTATTGCTTTCTTCATTTCCATATTTTATATCACCCAGTACAGCCAATGAATTTTAATTTCTTATTCAATGGAAAAGCCGATGAAGGCAGCTTTGAATCGATGTCAACTTCTGTGGACAGGCGTAGGCGTACCACCTACCTACTATTTATAGTTCAATTAATATAATTGCGATTTTTATAGTAAAACACGTACACACTATACGCTAACAAGTACTGAATATAAAGGTTTGTGCGTGTAAAGGTGAACGACTATTTAATTTATTATCTTGCTTGTTCATTTTATTCGTCCTGTTTATATGCAGATGAGCTAGCTGGACGCATGTTAAAAACGGCATTAATATCCTTGTAAATTTTATTGGGTAACAAATGTTAGAGAAAGTTGTTTCTGTGCGTTACGATGCAAGTTTAAGGAAAAAATAAATATTTGGCATTCCCACGTTAAAAATTGCGTGATTTTTCCATTTCCAATAATGCAAGGTTAGGCACCTTTATAAAAGAAGTTATTCAATCAGTCTCTCGAGAAAAGGTCGAAGTGTATATGTACCTATGAGTTTTTCAAGACAAAAATGATTATGGTAATGTTATCCAAAATGAATTGGAATAATGGAATTTCTGATAAAAATCATCCCCCACAGTTTTATTCCTGTCTGAAAGTAGAATTGAAAATCAAACTGTAAAACAGAGAAAGGGGATATACCCCTGGATATGCCTTATCAATTGTTCCACTGGTTTTTCCGCACGACGAAATTTCGCCCCTGTAAAATTGTTATAGAGAGCTCGTTAATGTTGATAGCTAAGTCTTTCGTTACTGCAGCAGATTTAGGATTCTGTCGAATTTGACTACAATGGTCATTTATGGTAATCAATTTCGTCGGGGAAGCGGCAGAAGTGCCTCCTTCATTGCAATAATCATTTTCTAAGTATTTAGGTATAGCTATAGACACTTTTACGGTTCCCATATTGTGGGTTAATCAGCTATCAATAGCAGATAAATAATTAAACCATTCCCTCGGTTAAATAAGCGCGGCATTTCATTATTAACATTAAGACCACCTGTCGCCGAAGTAGAAACTTCCGCATAACAAAACCGCGTGCGCATAACATGTGCCATTTTTTTCCGTTAAACTACATTCGTTCTGTTTACAGGTACGCAAGAATATCCATTTCCATCAAATTAAGTACAAAGGTATAAAGTAACCATGAACGGCCGAGGAAAGAGTGTCACATTACCACGAACGGGTACAAATCCAAACGAAAACCAAAGCAATGGAAATACTGGTATTACAAATAGACCGATAAGTTATTACGATAATATTAGGGAAAATGGACAGGGAATCGATCAGCCCTACGAGTACGAACTGCAGGAGTTGCACTTCGAGAGGGAAAGAAGTCCCACGCAACTTCACCTTTTGAACACGACGGTACCTCAAAATATTGCGGGTACTAGAAGTTTGAGCGAACGTCACGAGCCTACAAGAAACAGTTTGCGTCACAGTCGCATGATTGTCATGGCAAAAAGTGGAAAAGGTAATAATTTCTTAATTAGATACACCTGCGCAAGTTCAAATTACTTTCCGGGAACAAACTTAGAAAGTGCCTTTTTTTGCAATTCAACAACAATGACTAATTTCGAAGATGCGGTTCACCTTAGTGATTTTCCGACACGGTCTGACGTCTATAATTGGACAGGAAGTCATTTTACGGTTTGGTTGCTCTATTCCGCGCCCGAATTATTAAAGACACTTCAGGGAATTTATTTATAAAGTCGAGACTTTTTTAAGCATCTTCAACAGTTGCTCTTATATTAGGAATTTACTTGGCGGCAAAGATGCGTCCTATGGTACTTGAGTTCTGTTTATAATTTGCCGGCAATTATAAGCATCGTTACACACACAAATGAAGAATTTCATTCATCACGTAACGCTTTTCAGCCGCCTAATAACTATAGAATAGTTATGTTCAATCTTCCGCATTTACCTATTCTTCTCATACTTTCATATAATCGATCTTAGCCCAAGGGGTAGCTCTCTTTTATAAAGTTTTTCTTTTTCATTCATCATGTGCATTAAAATCGATTAGGTACAGTTATTGACAAAAGTAATGATAGGCTGAATAGATAAATCCTGGAGCATACGCAACCATCAACAGTTGAAAATATTGTGAAACTTGGAAATGCGAACCAATAGTAAGGAATTTCCTCCTGCAGCTGCAGAGTTTACCTATTAGGCGATCATTACTTTTGTCAATGACCCTACGGACCTCCTCAAGTCTTCACTGCTAACATCAGAACTCTCGACCGGACTATGACTATCTTCAGTTCAATGTGTTTTTCTAATGTTAGTTCCCTTATGTGTATGGTTCCTCTTATTAAATGATTGATGTCGATTTTCGATTCCATTCTTTTGAGAGATACCTAATCAACAACCTCAGTCTATATGACCTGCTCTCAATATAGCTGTGCAGTGTAGTAGGATTTTCCTAAGTTTGCACGCACGCCATCGGTGTATTACATCTGAATTATGTATGTTTACATAGTATCTGCAATCGATAGAACAGAATAAGTATGGAAACCACACGAACAGTGTTGCATTGTGGTTAATATACCAGCATTACACCAATGATCCTCCCAGTGTACCAACCACAATGCAGCACTGCAGGCTCGTATGATGGCTTCCTATAATACTGCAGATACTATGTAAACATACCTAATTCAGATGTAAAACATCACTTAAAATTTGGTAAAATTTCATACATTCCCATAAATTGATCACCAAGGTATAGGTTTCTTCATTTGTTTTACTCAAGTTATATTTTATACCTAATAAAAAGCGCTCGTATTCTGTTAAAATCCTTCGAATTCCCTTGAATAGACCCAGTAGCTCTTAAAGAATTTATGAGGCTTAATCCAGCTCTTTCTCGAGCCTTTTGAGTACTTTTAAAGTACCATTCTCGAGCTTTCGAAGGTTTTCTATGAACTTACGACATTAAAAACCTCTGCCCACGGAGGCTTGTAAGGACGCTAGAATATTCTGTAAAAAGCCTAGACTAGACTGGACCTTCATTTGTTATAAAAAACTTAGAATGTCCAGAAAAGTAGGTACTTATAGATCCTGAAACGCGTTTAGAAGACTTCCAGACCTATGCTACCAACTCCTCGCATCTGGTTACGTAATTGCTAAAAGTCCATTAAACATTCGAGAAAAATACGTCACCTTTCGCACCATTAATTTAATACGCTAAGAACAAACCTTGCCCTTTGTACTTCGTTCCCCGCTCCAGCCACTCTTGAGGTCATGATCGACCACAAAGTGGTTTGAGGTTGTGACACGCCTTCGATCATAGGTGGTATATGATCGAAGGGTAAAACGGCTTGGATCCCTCTGTCACATGTCGAGCGGAAATCCCTTTCTGCCAGTTCTTGCGACCGAAACGATTGCGTGAGCCTTTGATATGGTCATGTGTAACTCACATTCCGTTGGTATGGTGCAGGTGGTGAAATTTTATTTTGTTCTTCGGAAGGTCACTATTTTTGATATAGGTACTTAATTAGACTGGTTTGATGCTGGTGAAAGCAGAATCGTATAAACCGTATGGACCGGCGTAGATCTGATGAAACGAAAAGATTTTGTCAAAAAGTCCGAGTGCTTGCACTTACGCCTTTCAACTTTTGGGAATATACCGAACATATAGGTTTCTCATGTGAGGCATTTTACTTTTGCAAATTGGGCCTACGCACCCTAAAACCGTAGAAAATACGACGATGGTTAAATTGGAAAAAAGTTGCTCTACAAGACACCCTTGCGAGATTTTTAATACAACGTTTCGTTTCGGAGAACCCATCACCAACTTTATTTTTTGTATAGCCCGTAAAAAAGTATATACTGTATTGACTTGCATTTTTTATTGCGAAAACAACGATATACGGCACACAAAAACAAAACAGTTGGTTTCAACAGGATGGTGCACCCGCGCACAACGCCCTAATCGTGCGAGAATACCTATCGGATAATTCCCTAATTTAACCATTGTCATATCTTCGATGGTTTCCGAGATCACTATGGTAGATATTCTTATCTTGGACACAGTGTATGTATTATGCCCTGATACAATATTTAAGGAATATTATAAATGCCAAGTCACATAAATTAATTTCATGGTTGTTAAGTAAAGTACCTAGGTACCTATAGTGGTCAAAGTAATCGTAAGATGATTCACGTAACATAAAAAGGCAATTAAATTTGTATAATAAGCCATCAAGGACATAAGTCTCATTTTTGTAGTAAACAGAACATTAATCCTTAAGTGTAAGGTACCTTTATGGACGCTCACTAGACCGGAATTAGTCTACAAGTTAATTAAAGCTTTACGGCGGCGTTACGCATAGTTTGTTAAAAGGTCACCATTTCCATAACTTACCTAGTTAGGTACTATTACCATATAAGTGATAATCATTTGAGCTGTCTCTATCAAACAAGTGCCATGCCAAATCACCGATGACGGTTTAACTTCCGCTTTCCGTTTGTTCATTAGACAAATGTTAGTTTCATTACGTGGGCTACTTCCGTTGTCTGCTACCCTTATCAGTCACAATTCACATTACATGGTCAGTTTGCGTCAATATGGCTTGTCCTGGGTCGAGATCTCTGAAGTTCTTTGTTCCACAGTATAAGGGAAACATGCGTGATCGTCTCATGACGCTGGATATATAGGGCGGACAAGGTGTATGGGGATGGAACCGCACCTCTTTTCGTTTCGGAAATTCTTGCCTCCAAGTGCTCCATGAGTGTAGCCTTGATGGCTCGGACTTTTGAAAGCTATTCCATAATAACCCATTGGAATCCCATATCATGTCAATTACCTTCCTGGGAGTTGTTACTGTTTTTCATTGGCTCATATGGCCACATTTAAAACATGTAACACGGAGGCAAACAGACCAGCTATATTCGTCTTATTCAAAAACTGAATTGCTCATCCATGAGTAGAGAATTTATAATTGTCCCTTGGAACACCCTGATTTCATCAGAAGTACTCTATTTTAGCGCCAATCAACTACGCACCACTCATCCTAATGCACACAAAGCTAGCCAAAGCGTTAGTTGGATTGCAGATATTAATCGGGGTAGCATTAGCAACATTATCCCTCTGGCTACTATTATGGGCGCCAAATCTTCGACAGCGTGACAATCCTTATTGGAGTGCAGCACCGGTAAGTTCAACATTCATTAACCACAATTATACGATGAATGTGTTTCAGATACTGTTATCGGGAGTGTTCGGCCTAGTCTTACTTAGCTGTTGCAAGATAGATTACCAACAAGTTCACAATCGCCAGTTCATCTACTCGCTGAAGGTAATGTCGACTTTCTCCAGTCTAGCATTAACTCTTATCTTCCAGATAGTGAGCTTGTTCTTCAGCATTGTTGCCGGCGCGGCTTGTTTAACAGCATGCATCTTTGCGATAATTCACCTACTTGCACTTTCGACAATGGCGTGCGCGCCCATAAATCAATTAAATGCGACGTGTCAGTGCACATTGAAAACGACCGATAATACCACATCATTACCTGTTAAAAGTTACCACTACATTGACCTCAGCTGTCTCGAAGTGACTAGCATTTTAAGTATTTTAATGATATTTTCGTGCGGAACGAACGCGGTAGGCGCAATTGCTTCCTTGTGGTACGTTTACTTGCACTGGATTAGTAGATATAATATGAATTATTCCAAAGTACGTACGGGGGAATGTAGACCAAAACCAATTTTGGTCGGTAATTCTTGATTGACTATCAACTGTGATATAAATGTACTTTATATCGAATTGTTCATCTGAAAAAGTATGAGATGTATCGTCCGGACAAATAAAAATACATTTTCTTGGAGGAAACTAAGTTAGTGTTAGGGTACTTTTAATTTTCTATACATATGAAAAAGCAATTCTAGCCAATTTCTGAAGTATCCCCTTTCACGTCCTAATGAAACTTCTTTGACTTTAGTGAATGTAAGGTTGCATTCTTCTGTGACGCTGAAGGCTTATAGGACTATTAGATTTATATGGTACAAATTTAGAAACCGTAACGTATTGTTAAATCATGTTGTACTTAATGATTTGAACATTTTACCATTTTTTATACTCAACAATAAGCCATTTCTTATTGTTATATTAATAAATCAATCCTAGCGATATTTTACTTATTTTAATTTTCAGGTATACCCACTTAAACGTCAATCAAACCATAAGTTTATGTGAGAATATGAATCATTTTTAATCAAAGATTATTATAGGAACTACTTAAGTGCATTCAAATTTTTATCACACCCGATGAAGTACCTACTGATGACACCATTGAATAAGCACTTTCAATGCTGATACCTAATGTTGAAAAGTGTGATGTGCAATTATGCCTACTACTTTCTCTTAGTGCAGAACAATTAAGTACAGTGTTGCTAAGGACTACCTACAGTTTTTTTGACTGTTAGATATCAACTTTTGCGTGTGAACCCTGCATACAAAGTCGTACCTACTCTTTAATACCATTGTATATTACCTACAAGAAGACGCGAATTTGGTAGGTATTATTGTTAAGTTTTACGTGTGTACGATCTGTGTTCGGTAATAAACGTATTACCGTGCCCATAGTTTGTGTAAAATAGTTTTTTAATTAAAAAAGTAAAAATTCTGTCACTTCCACCAGACTTTAACAGACTAGCCAGTTTCAGAACAATGTCTTTCTCTCTGACCGTCGCGATGTCAGTGACATTTGCGGAAAGACTAAACCTCCACCTTTCCTATACAAAAAATTGATTTCAAAACTTGTCACTATATTTTCTTTAGAGAATGCTAGCGTGAAACAGAACCACTAGAGTTTCTTTGACTACACCGCACATTCTTGATGAAATGTTTCAAAACTAGCAAGAAATGTTCACCAGTCCTGTTCACATGTCCCAAAATCAAGCTCCCTGAAGGAGCTTCATTGCCTAAAACTTCCAAATTCCTTTTCCTCAGGATAATATACGCTGGTGGTACAACGCTATGAGCTTAAGTAACGCGGTTAGGAAGGAACGTTAACGATCGTTATTATTATAAGATTGTGAAAGACCGGAAATTTAGTTGATGATCATTAATGTAAAAGCAAAGTCAAAAGGTGCCATACTCTCGCAAAAGCAATTGCCAAAGGTAAAAAGAGTACGACGGAGAAAAACCTTGACGTTTGATTAATACGGGCCAAAAGTTAGCTAACAAAATAATTTGCGGAATTATCAAGTTTAAGCAAAAAACAAATTTTGGAAACAATAGATCAGGTAAGCAGGTACCTAAATTCTGAGAAAGGGTGAAGGGTACAAGATGTGATTCATCTTTGGTGCAATAAAGTCCTTTTGTTAAGAGGAAGATGGAAAATTACATGGTCTTGTAGGCAAATTCAATGTTACGATAAAATATGTGAAAATCATTGAATCACAACTCATATCACATATAGATTCTAAAATTAAGAGTTTTTATTAGCATAATCTTGCCCCCAAGATATGTAACTCGCCCCTCGTTCAGCGTTTCGAGCCTACAGTTGGATGGCGAACATAATCACAGAATTAGGTGTCGTAATTCATTTGGTTATACAGTTTTTGTCACCCCCATGACTTCTTCATTCACGGAGAAAATGATTCCACATTAGAAGAGTGATCAAAATTTGTATGAATATTATCTCTCGTCAAGACCATGTAATAAAAAAAACATAAATTCAGTAAACATTTCACCACAAACGTAACGATTTGGAACAAAAGGTTAACGGTATCGAAATGTGATTCTGCGTTACGGTTAAATCAAGTCAATTTCAAAAACAAAGATTGAAACTCACAAAAAAAAATGCTGCATACAAAACACAAATATGATACCTATATAAAGAAATGCAAAGATTACTACTGCATTAAGTAACACATAAATAACAACAAACATTTACGGGGCGATGCTTCCGCCATCGCCATTGAAAATAAGATACCAAACGTAAGCGTATAACCATTATATGGTATAACCAACGTTCGTGCTCTCCAGATGGCGCAGACAGCTTTTCCCCTCCTAAAGATTGCATGTTTGCAACTCCCAAAATTGTGTGCATCGTCGTAAAGTTGTATATACAGGGTGGAACCTCTCAGTAGTAATCTTTACATTTCTTTATAATATAGCATTTGTTTTGTGTGCAGAATTTAATATTTTTTATAATTCAATCTTTGATTTAACTTCAGTGCAGATTCATGTGTTTGATACCGTTAACATTTTGTTTTTTTTAGACTTATAATTTTGATCATTCTTTTAGGCACTTGACTTGTTGTTTGTAAACATTTTCACCTTGAAGGGACAGTCACGGGAGTGGAAAATATTGTAATTAAATGAGTTATGACACTATCAATACCGGGACTGCTCTCAACAATCAACCGTAGGCTCAAAACCCCCAACGAGGGCCCAGTTATCTATCTCCGGGACAAGATTCTGCTAATAAAACTCCGCGTTTTATAATTTATGTGTGTTATATGAGTTGGGATTCACCAATTTCCACATATTTTGTTGAATTGGCCCTACAGGCCATGCAATTTTCCCACTTGCTCTTAACAGAAGGATTTTATTGCACCAACTATGAGTCAAATCCTGTGAATTTCACGCTTTCTCAGAATGCTGGTACATGCTTATACCTGACCCATTATTCACAAAACTTGTTTTTAACCTGTCACCTCTGGAAACCTACATGCTACATATTTAGGTAATATTGTTGTAATTTTATGTTATGCATTCACTTCATTACAAACAATTAATTTCGTTACACAATTTAATATTAATTTGGCGGCTGGTTTTTTTCTTGGCAAGTTCTTTTTTCCCCGCCTATTTCTGGTTTTATTCGGTGAACTACAATTTCCAAAGTTTATTTTTGCAATGTAATGGAAATGTAGAACGGCTACGAGAAAGATTTGACTTGGCGGAGGAATGGAGCAAGTTTCCAGGTGTGAAGAAGACAAAAAGGAGGCGTGAAGTTTGCAACTGGCATGATGAAAACGAGAACAAAGGATACGCAAAGAACATCTGAAAGAGGCATGAAACCCTGGTAGAGATTTGTAACCAGCATGAAGAGGGGAATAATGCAATGAAAACGAGTAGGATTGCAACTGAGAGAAGCACCACCTATAATTGCCAAGGGTCTTTCAATATACGTAATCCATAGACCATGTGTAATAGTATGGGAACGATCAAAATGGGAATATTTTGTTTAATTCCTTGTAATAAATCACAATAACGATTTATATATAAAATACATAGATTTAATATAAAATTTCCTAACAATTTCTATCTTTTAAGGTTAAAATTATTTAAAATAATCACATGTTAAAAATGGCTAAGAACTATAGGAAGAATTGTTATTAATTTAAAATTATAAAACTTAAATCTATTAATACTTTAAAAACAATGGAAATAATTGCACATGTCCAACAAATGAAAAATTACACTTACAGGTGTGAATTAAGCTAAAATTGGTCAGACTTGATAAGACTATAAATAAAAAGAATAGGTAATATAGCACCATAAGTCACAAGAATAAAATTAAAATGTCCACATGCTCGATAAAATTAAACGCAATGTGATAGAAATAACTGCCATTAAGCAATGTAGCGACACATTGGCAAATTGCCAAATATCAAATTTTATCACAATGTTCACAGCAATACTGTCAAAATCAATTTTACCTCGGCGTATACTCAAGATGTATAGGAACAATCGAAGATTTATCGACTACAAAAAGGCACAATACTATCACACTTTGGTTTTCAGTATTCAAGTAAAAGAAATCTGACCTTTTCGTATTGATATCTAAACTCATGTAGATAATAAATTAATATGTTGCGGTGGCGGTATTAAACCGGAGGGATGTTCAGCTTTAAGCATCGCCGCAAGCCATGACGCACGAACACCTGGGTTACTCCACCCGATTATATTACCAAACCAAGGCGACGCTCGGGTACGTTTCAAAGATTGCGTTTTTGTTATAAAGGTTATCGTCCAATTGCTCTGCGGGTTTCTTTTAGGTTCGTGTCCAAAGTACCACAACATATCCTCAATATTCCACGAGCCCAATTTACACGAACACTAAACAAGGACATTGTACATTTAAGTGCTGCGGAGGACTACTCACCGTCTTATCTTTGTAATAGCTCAGTTTTGCTTGGGCAAACTCGAACGTATACCCTTTAAAGTTTTTCGTTTTAGAATCGGCATATTTTAATTCCCCCGATACCGGCAGAGGGTTATCCTGAATGTATTCCCAATATTTCGATACAGGCGATAATATTAATGCGTTATCTTTTCTGTCGGGTTCATCCCAATAGCCCCATCTTAAGACTACATGTAGAACCTGTCAAAAATTTATTAATTTCACTTTTTAAATTTTTACCTTGCAAAAGCAAAACAAAAGTGCTGCAAATAAGCTTCCAGTAAAAAAAAACAACTTTATAATCTCAGTTTTTTACCATCTCTAACCTTTTTTAAAGCAAATGGTAAGAGGAGAGTTAATGAACAGAACGAAAAATAAAGCAAGAATAAGCACGACGTCCCCAGAAGATTCGTCCTCGTCCCTCCATATCCCTTCCTTACCAGAAACCAAGCTAAAAGCACAGCACAGGTTTTGGATTTCAGTTTGAAATTTAAGTGCCCAATTCGCACTAAAGGTTTTACTAAGGTTATAAAGTTGTTCATTCATTATTGTATTAATTTAGACATTTTTCACAGTTCACAGTTACATGGCATGGGCAGAAAAAGATCTGTGAAACTTTTTTCCGTGGTTAAAATATAACCCAAGCGGCCTATTGGTTCACAATACGCACCTTTTCTGAATGATGTATGGGCCGCACCAAATTATCATTTAAAACATGCTCTTCCAGTTGCAATTCATGCACTCCCAAGCTTATTTTTGTGCTCAGCTCCACTAAGACTTCATATGCGGTTTTTTGAGGGCCAATCTGAAAGATTACTTACTTATATTCTTCTACCCTTAACCGCGAATATCGATCTGACGGTAGACTATGGCGATTAACCTGCTACTTGCAATTAATAGGATAATCACTGTTAACCAATTGAAACACAACTGTACTCAAATGCCTATGAGTTAACAGACTCCATGAATAATCGATTCAGTCAGGCTTAATCGCGATCTCCAGCGCACTCACCGCAATATTAAACGTTTGCCCCTCCTTATTATATAAGTACACCCAAATTCGCAAATCACCAGAAGCTTTGGTATTTACAGGCCCCTGTGGCGATTTCATGCACTTTAGCAGAACCTGAAGCATCGAACGTTCCTGTTCAATTTCTTCTGGATTCTCGGGAAAGATACTGCGATACAAAGAGATTAGCTGAGAAACGACCGCCAATTCTTTGTTGTGGCGAGTCATGGCGTCGTCTTTATCCTAAATGGTAAAAATCACAGTTAATGAATGTAAAGTCGCCACAAAAAGTATGTAGAATCGAGTTTGAGACAAGACTCAGTATCTACCACTGCGCTTTGACTGATTAGTGAGCAACCAATGTGCCATAGTTAAATTGCTTAAAATGTGACTGTGATTTATGCGACCTAACCAACTACGCCGCAGCGCAAATCGGTCAAAGTGCCATTGGAAAACTTGTTTTTTGGTATCACAGTGAATATTTTCGTCAAAATTGACTCTATTATAGTAGCAACAAAAACCAAAATGTGAATGCATGTTAAGAAAGATTTCATTGACAAGATAATTAAACTTGATACAATCTGCTCACTCTTTTAAGCGACTTATTTTAAAAAAGGACACTTCGTTTCACAATATATATAGGTTTGAAAATGTCTCCACGTTGCTTACACCAATGATGTTGATTTTTCTTATTGACTCATTGACTCAGGTTATAGTTCGTTGTATGAAACTTACCTTTTTTGCTTTGCTTATTATAAAAACCTATTATGTATTATGTGGTAAATAAATATCCTACCAAAACCAAAATCGATAGGTTACCTGAATAATACCTTTAAATCAATAAATACCTACGTCATACGTCTACTTTATTTATGATGCAAACGTTATACGGTACCATTTAAAACAATTCTATGTAAGATTTGAATCCTCACAGAAAAATCTATCTTAAATGAATACACAATGATAGATTTAATTATAATTCACCCCAAAGTCTTACGCGCAACGATGTAAAGAGAAGAAAATGCAGATAAACGACCCTGGTTTCGAACATAATTATGGAAAGGTAGAACAAGACAAAGGCAGGATTATGACGGCCTTCCAATCTTACATCCTTTTCACAACAACCGTCAATTTGAATGGCAATTGCTCCATGAATATACGACGTGCTAATCACGAACAACGAAAACTTTATAGGTACATGTAATAGCTGCCTCCACGGAAATCATGTGTAAACGTATGTAGTCAACTGCAATTACCTCTTCTAAACTGGCCGATTGACGTTGAAAATTGTTTCTACACGTTGATTAATTGTTGTGTGTGGAAAAGCACTTGTGGAACAATATTTAGCACTTTTTCCACTGTGTGAAACTTTTAAACGCGCATGTAAATGTCGCGTTGCGTCCTTGACGCGTCTCTCTCATGAATCCGAACGAATGGGCACACACGTTCTCGTCTATCACGCTGAGCTGAAACATCCAATTGCGCCCCTAATTTCGTTTAAATTAAACTGTTGCAAATTTTTATGTACAGGGTACCATCTGACGAGCTCATTCAAATTTGACGAGTGTGTATTTGTTTATTAACTCTCGAACTCGAGTCTACGTACTTTTTACCTCAATAGTAGTAAATCAATACTTACATCACAACACATAAGTGTAGGGCCCCAAACTGTGGCAAGATTGTCGGCAGTCATTAGGTTATGATTTGATTGCGTGGAAATAAAATGAAGATGGCCTAGTAGGCGTCGTATTGTCTTGTAGGTGATTGATGAAAATGAATCAAAAAGAGCTCGGAACATTCTTATCTTTTCTTCTGTTGCTTTTACAACTAGAGGGCATTTTTAATAAAGTCCATCACCAATTATTGTGACTTACGTGAGACTTGGTACAAATATTGTTGATTACTTGAGGTTAACAAAGGCTCGGGAAGTTCACGAAAGAACCGTTTTAAAGCTGTGGCGACGTCGTGCTCGTTGTACTTGTCCAAGGTGAGTTGAACCGCCCAGGCGTCTCGTCGAAACTGCGTCAATATGTCTAAAACTGTTGCTCCACTGCCAGCTTTTCGATATATCCCTTCCACCATACTCCCTGCAATTTAAAGCCTGAAACTCAACTTAGAACCACTGAAATACGCACCGTGAGCATAAATAAAATTAATGCATTTTTCCACTATGACTGGAATGTCATTCTTTGTTAACTGTTGCTGTTCTAATAAGGCGCCATTGTTATGCGCTGCCAAACGCAGAATACAGCACCAAGTCTAAAATTATTCGATTAGAGGTGATCCTCATGTAAGTGCGGCCTTACCTTAGTTTCTCTTATGGTCCACATTCGTAAGTAAAGAACACCTCCGGGGTAATCGAGTAACATATTCGGTCCCTTGTCATTTGTTCGCGGCACAATTTCGCTGTCTTGAAAGTTCTGTAGCACTATGCACCTAGCTTTGCGTAAGTCGATAGTTTTTGGGGCACTCTTATCTACTGCATAGTGTAAGGATCGCTGGCTCAATATGAGCCATGCGCCAACCCATTCGCCGCTTATGCCTATAACATTATAACAACTAATAGTAGACAGTACTAAATTTCAATCTCATTTAAAAGGTACTTGGTTCCCTATTGGGATTCTGCACTCAACAATTTAATTATATTATAAAAATCCAAGAAAATTTTATTTCCCAGAATCTACTGATTTTAAAATTCAAAATGGCATACAGTACGTGAATAATGTTAGCGAATCGATTGCATAATATGTATAACAAAAATTTATCGATAGATAAAATCAAATTAAAACATCAATACACTTCTCTGTATCTGACAATAGTTCTTATCAACATGTTAATAAAGCCTTTGTTTGTACAGCGCTTATCACAAAGATTAGTCTACCTACCTTCTCGTATATACGCCCATCCTATTCTGCTATACTCCGCAAGAACCTTGGTGGGAAATTTACTAAACAGACACTCCGCTATTCTTTGCATCCAGACGCGCCTCTCGGATATACTCTGGCTACCGTACACGTGTCCGCCCCTACTTTTTCCAGAGACATTGATTTCGAAACAATGCAAATCTTCGTTGTCGTACCTATCAACAAACCGTTTCGAATTAGTTAAAAGTCAACGTCCAGCGATTTCAAGTCCTTGACCCTATAAATTATTTTGTTCCCTTCATGCAAGGAAGATTGTAATAAATTAAATTTTGCCATGAAAACTAATTATGTATGTTTACTACGCGTTCATTGACAATAACACCACCGGGAACTTAATATTATTTACAGTCAATAATAATTAAACGCGAATTAAACAAATCATTGGAGTGTGAAAACAATTTACGCCCATTGTATGGGGTACCAGGTTCAAAATCCTTTCGCACAACAGCTAAATAAAAGTAATACACATTTGAAATAGTTCAATTAACATTAAGAAAGAGAGGCAAGGTTTAGCATATATGAATTTGATTATATGGTCTTGATCGAGGCCATTTTTTAATGTGAAATTTTGAATATGCTGTTAACGCCTCGGTTAACGTCTCTTTTTAAAATAATAAATTGATATTTTTATGAAGATACAAGTTTTGTTTTCTATAGTGAGCAGATGGGATGACTCAAATCCTATGGCGTCCTAGTCTTAGTCTGAATAACTCTGCTAATACAGACACAGGAAATGCGTAACATTGACTATCAATGACACATCATTTCATTGAGTGATAATTATTGACATCATATCATTAGTTTGCTTTAAATAAGTCGTACACTATCTGGGTTTCCTTCATTTGAAGATTAATGCAATTTTCCGTTTAGTAGCAATCAAAACAGTCCTGTCATAAACAAACTGGAGATGCCGATGGAAATTGGGGAATGAGACTCTACAGTATCGTCTTTGTTACCAGGATGCATTGAAATCCAAGCACGGCACAGTTATGATGATTAATGTTGGAGATTCTCTAGCTCTAGAAAGTTCCTACAAAAATCTAGCGCGCATTCTGCCAAGTTGCATGAGTCATGTAAAAAAATTTGTCCAATAGGTATTCTGGCAAGATTAGGGCGTTGTGCGCGGGTGCCCCATCCTGTTGAAGCCAACATTATTATTGGCAATAGCGCCCGCAGTTGGCCAGATTGAGTCGCTATTAAAATTGAAAATTAAAAAAATGGTTTAAATTTTCTCGCCAAATAGTCAACCTTCGAGCAACCTTTAAATCTGGGAGATAAATGTGTAAATACCACCGTACGTCCGACTTACAGTGGTATGTACACCTCGACAGTGCTATCAGACAGCAACTCGCGCGAGAAATCTTGCTAGAGGATTCCGGCCTTTAGGTAGCGCTTTGTCTGGTGAACCCGAGGGTGAACCTAAGCAATGGCAATGGTAGTAAGAGAGGTATTCTCGAAGGTACTGCATTGGGGTAAAAAATGACCCCCCACTTTTTTACGGATATCGATACACGTTTTGAAGCACCAGGAATCCGAATCAAACAAAATCTCAATGTTGTCGGTCTGTCCGTCTGTATTCTCATTTCCGGCTAAACAACTGTACCGATTGGAACAAAATTTGGTAATCATTTTTTTAGACATAAAAGGAAGAGCTGAAAAGCTTTTGGGCAGAATCGCGCATGCGCAAGCCTGTCATTTCGAGCTAAACGGCTGAACCGATTGGAACCAAATTTGGTACCCATATTCATAGGCATAAAAGGGCAGAATCGCTCATGCGCAGATAATATCTGTGCTAGCCACAGCACATTTTTTTTGTATATTCACCATATGTAATATTATGCATATTCTATGTTGACTGTTGTCGTATAGTATCTTACAAAAACAAATGTATGGTATTTCAGAAACGCGTTGCATAGATTTCCGGTTTAAGTGGAAGGATGCCGGCAATTTCAATATACCATCAAATAGAGTGTGATGTCGCATACAGAATTCTACTGTATAACATACTAGGTGATTCATTTACCTTGAGACGATTTAATAACTTGATGGCGCCATCTTTTTTGGAAAAAAGTTCCATACAAAAGTTGTACAATTCTAAAGGGGGCTCATGGGTCACGACCTCGAGGATGTCCTTGATCTCGACCTTCACGATCAACTTCAGAAATATGAAGGGTGGGGGAGTGGACAAATTTTTTTTAACAAAAAATGCGACTTTTTTATATCGTTTTCTACAGGTGAAATGACATAATTTTGTCGACGTTCTTTTTTTATAAAGGGGGATTCTCAACAAGTTATTAAATCATCTTGCAATGAATTGATTTATCACTTCGGCGTTGAAATTGGAACTGTACTGAAACGCAATTTGATTTGCTTATATACTCTAGTATTCCCGAGTGATTGTGAGTCTTCTAGTATAGTACGCGTCATATTTCTCGGAAAGATTGCACTCGCCTTCGTTCTTTATCGGCGATAACTAATCTTTCAAGAAACGAGGTGCATACAAGTGGCACCACGCTCAGAAAGTCCCTGACAGGGCGTATCCGAGGGCGCTAGAAATTCAGACCGTACATTCTGATCGAGATTCTGATGCAAAATTTAAAAACATTATATACAGGGTGGTGCCTAGCGCGACGCAGCATAGGGATTTCAATGGTAATTTCTTTATAGTCAATTACTAGCTCCCCTAATTATTTTAGAGCAAAAGTCTAAATAGGTTTTTTTCAGAGAAAAAAATACTGCATCTGTTCATACTATTACTCATTTTAAAATGGCAGATAATAATTCAACAGTCGCAATATAAGAAATATCTTTTTATAGGTTCATTCTGAGATTGACAATTTGTTGATTTTCCTACGTACCTTTTAAAATCATTTGACCATTTTTATATCTTTTTTGAGCCTTTTTTGAATATCATCCTTAGTGTATTATATTTTTTAAAAGTTAGTATGCTACATTTTTAGATTATTAAATAATACAGGGCGTTCCATTAAAAAAAATAAGGTTAGGTTCAATAACTTTTTTGCCTAACCCCGCGTGGCGTGTGATTGTACCTGAAAGCAAGTGGGGTTGTGCACAATTGCAATTGTGATTGTTAGATTGTGACGATTGCGGGTTTGTTTTAGCATTGAATTTATAACTATCAAATTCAATGGTTTTAGACAATTGTGAGATTGCAAAAGCGAATGTGGGACTGTGAGGGAGATTGCCATAGTAATAACAGGGATTGCAAGTGATTGCAGACAATTTGTGACAGTATTGCGGGAAGATGTTACCCCCTCGGGTTTACGAGTCCCCACAGTAAAAATGAGAAAGAAACACCCTGTATAATAACATGTACATAAGTTTTTGTTTATAATTACGTTTTTTGCAGTAAAACCAGTATTATTTTTTTAATCGTGGAAGGGGGCGTCAGCACGTTTAGTTTTCAGAAAGGGGGCGCCATGGGAAGAAGTTTGGGAACCACTGATTTAGATGATGGTAGTAGATGTACAGTCATTGACAAAAGTAATGATCACCGAATAGGTAAATCCTGCAGCATACGCAACCAACATTTGAATATATTGTGCAACTTGGAAATGCGAATCAAAAAATGAAGATATCTCGCCCTTGAAGAAACAGATGGGAGTCCAATGTGATGTTGGTTGCTTATGTTGCAGATGCAACCATTACTTTTGTCAATGACCGTACATAAGTAGTTGGAATTTTGTATAGGATTGATCAGTGTAGTGGAAGTGACTGGTAGGTACCCCAATTTTTTTGGTGGTTTTCATTCTCCTAGGTGGACTATCATAGTTAAATATTGAGACTTCACAGCAAGTGTTGCTTATATATTGTCATAAAAACAAAAAAAGAATTATACATACTTGTACTTTTGATCCACGAGTGCTTGAACACTAAGGATGGAACTCATGGAAAAATATTCTTTAACATTATCCGAGGAACCATCAGAGTAACACGTCAAACAGCCCTTCTCAAGTATGCACCACCTCGAACTAAACTCTCCGAAAAGGTCCTCAACAGGTCCACTCGTCACCTTATATAACATCCCCTTTTGTTGTACGAGCGCCTTAGTCGACAACATGGGTCGCATTACCATGTTGTCCTTTTGCTTATTACCCCTCACAATATCCGGTGCCTTTTTCAGCACGACATTCACCTGCTTAAACCAGTTCATTGCCTTCGACTCTAAATTATTGCCGTTACTCGACGCATTTTTTGTGGCGGGTGCATCTGCCACGAACCAACTCGTCTTCGACTTCTCCTGAACAACGGGCACCTCTTCGGGTAACGAATCGGACCTTGTAGGTGGCGTCGGAGGATTTAAATACTCTTCAGCTTCCGACTCGGTCGACACGCTCCAATTGTCGAAGGTGCCCACATTCGAAATCGTACCGTACAACTCTCCCTGTAAGAGCTCTTCCAATGCTTTCAAATCGTTCACGTTGGAATACAAGTTAGCGCTAGTGTTGGTTAGCGGATCGAACTGGAGAATGACACTGTCAGTCGGACGTCGACTGAGCTTTTTTGTCCGTGGTGGTGGTCGAATTACGTGTTGTTCGTAGAGGCTGTTCCTCATGTCCATGTGAGACGTCGTGTCAAAGCTGTCTTCCGACTTGCCGTCTTCCGCTGGCATCACTTCTAAAATTGGAGTGTTGTCGACATTGGTATAGATACTCTCCGATTTTGCCACGGGATCATAATAATTAAACGAACTGGATCGAGACAAGCTCGTCGATTCCAAGGTGGCTACGATTACATTGTCGGCGTCCGAGTAGGGATAACTGGGAAAGACACTCTCGTAGTTGCCCGGTTGCGTAAGCGAAGTGCTTTCCGAGTTATTACTGTTTGTGCTTCCCGAAGTGAGGGATTGGGGGGCGTCGTAAATGGATTCCTCCCTCAATGGAGGAGGCGGATGTAGAGGCGGCGGGAGGCTTACGGAGTCCTCCGAAGAACTATGCAGTTGAGTCTCGATGGTTACATTCGTATAAAGTGAGGTATTTTCACTTAGCGACGGTTTGATCGGCGACCGAAAACTGATGGAATTAAAAATATCGGCGTCGGATTCGGAACGGCGGTCGTCTTCATTCGGCTGAGGCGGCGGGCTTTGTTCTGTTCCGGCGGTAGTAAATCGTCTTGTGATTTTACGTACACTTTGCCTTGTACCTTCGATTACCGCCTTCTTTTTCTCGTGAACTTTTCCGGCAAGCTCTTCCGTAATTTGCTTTGATGTGTTACTAAAGGTACGTACCCGACGAGAGAACGAGTTGAAGTTTGACTCGCACTCCTTGCTGGTGAGATCTTTTTCTGGTAGACTTTCATTGAAAGTTGGCTGGTTTTCGTTTATAATTGGAATTAGTCTTCGAGGTGTAGGGACAGGTTTTTTCTGTTCATTGTTTACAGTACGAGGAGCTGGCACTGGAGCACTCATCGTTTATTTATTTTAATTTTATTATGGGAAAAGGAAAACACAAGCAGGAAATTATCAGCTCGTTATTATGAATCATATTTTGTAACACATCACATCAACACCACACAATAAAATGATACGTTGATGTTTATACATCGCTATTAGTCATATTGCGAGGTGCGAGGTCTTTGAATTGAATGAATTCGAATACAGCTGAATTTACGTTATGTGGCGTTCGGTGGATGTCGGAAAGTGATGGAATGACTCATGACGATTGTGTAGAACAAATATTATGGAATAGACGGAGTCGCCTGTTGAGTAAGCTAGGCGCAGGAAGGAAAACGTATACAATTCCATTTCTCAATAACATTCAATGCGTTTGCGTTGCGTTGACCTTTATTTTATTTTTTTTTTAATGCGGAAAAATAGAACTTTCCTATGGCCTTGAAATTTAATGCCTACTTCGTCATTCCATTCCAAACTTGCTTCTCATAAAATTAACAATTAATTATGTATTTATTCGAAGAATCCATCCCCCTACCCTTAATTAATGAGTAGGTATGCCATTCAGCAGGGTAATAATAGGCCGTACTTATCTGTAATTTTAAAAGAACAACAAGCTGCATTTTCGCAAGGCTATAGTTTAAAAATGGAAATCTTTTGCTGCCCCAGTTGCCATTATATTCTAAGGCGAATCTTTATTAATAATTTCTTGTGTGCACCATGGCACGAAAGTTGTTTTCCAGGCCTCACGAAGTGGCCAGCCTCGGCTTCGCCTAATCGCCTCGCCTGGCCATATCTTATCTTCCTTCGCCCCTTTTATTAACTGATGTACACTGAAGAGCGTTTTCTTGCGACTTCGTTTTGATATTTTTCTCTGTGTAGCACTGTGTGTAAAATTTGTACTTGAACGTGAACCCTGGACGACGGACGTTTATCTTGCCTTGATCGATCTTGCTCTCCTGGATGAGTGACTAGTTTGGTACTTTTGGTTGGCGATATTTGCATTTCCTGATGAATTTGACCAGGTCCCACATGTCCTTGTGCATATCCTGTAGGACCTGTACGTTATCTTGCTCATCCACAATATTTTCTGCATTTTTCGATAGGACCACATTTCGAAGGCCTGGCCCTGATGGTAGCTTTTTTGTAGTGCGACTAGTGACTGTTGTTATAGAGTCCAGGCATTGTTTAAATAAAGTGTTTAAACAATGGTCCAGGTTTCTACACAGTACAGTATAGGAGCAGGATTGGTCAAATCTCAATAAATTGCAGATGTGCATATAGAGTGGTGGTCAAGCATCTGTTGGTGCCCAACAAACACATGAGAAACGATGGTTATAATAAGTTATAACGCTGGTAATGGCGGTAAAAGGTTGTGGCAACAATTATTTAGGAGAAGTCGGGTAAAGAGAAATGGAGAGGCAAAGTGAAAAATTAAATTTGCACTTGTTTACAAGAATCGTTCGTGTTCCATATGAGTTTTCTAGAGTCTCACGTTTCCTGCTAAAAAAAATTTACAGATTTCGCAATCCATGCAACCGTCGGAAACATGGAAATGACAACCGGCGTATAACGCCATATAAGTACACAAAATAAACCTTACTCACCCGGAATCACTTTCTGAATAATAAGCCTCATCATAACATGCTCGTAATGTGCGAGAATTTTATAGATTGGAATTGCGCACTATTGAGTACATAAGGCTGGACAGTACATCTGTTGCGTTGCCCGTACGCTTGATTTCGTTCCACGATATCTGAATTCTTAGTGAATATGAAAAAGTGGTCGAATATTCCTGTGAAAGGTGAATGCTTTAGTTATACGTACAATAACGCCGGGGTTTACTAAAATGTTTTAAAATAATCTTTTTTTTAAGGTAACGTCGAGGGGTGTTAGGGTGCCATATTTTGGAAAAGAAAAAAGGAAATAAATTTTCTTGACGTTATTGCCTAGATATTAAGTTTACAAACTTATCTCAATTTTGGAAATTATGCCAACTTCATTTATAGATAAGTTATCTTGGTAATTTGGCGATTGACAATAGGCAACTTTACATACTCCGTTCTGTATTTCAATGGTACTGTCCAGCCTTAAGTACCGTCTCGGCAGTATCCGCAACTTTTCTTTAATCTACCGATTGCGCCCGAGTACGGGACAATCAACACTTCACGCGACACCACTGTCTTCTTTTCTGCTTGACGAAACTGTGGTTAAGTTCATACCCCATATACAAAACATATAAGGATTTCCAATGCTAAAAATAATAATTTGTTTTTTCGGTTTTAATTTTTTATTTATTTTCTCTTGTTCTGGGCCCTCATAACAGGCTTGCGCCCAATGACAGAGTCACTCGCATAATGCTTGCCCTTATGGACATTTCGAAAATTACAAACATGAAATAAGTTTTAATTTCTGATCGAATGACACCAATACCAAGTCTGTAAAGTGGTGTAGTTCCGGAGCCTTTGTGACTCAGACAGACATCCAGTGTAATATGCAACGGTAAGAAATACTGGTTTCCCAAAGTACGTACTATATAGACCAATTTGGTTTATATGGTACAATGCATCTTTATTTTTATTTCATACTGTCCGCTGTATAGTACACTATACTTTATTCACATTCATTATAAGAAGGTAGTAGATGGCGCTGGGTTTGAAGATAAGCACACACAGGAAAAATATAAAACTGCACCAAATTATTGTAAAGTAGAAATATCTAGCACTGCAAACACAAATCAATCTTTGACATTAACAGTTAATGACACTTCAATAGTTTAGATGCCAACAGAAACTACCAGCTTGCAAAATTCGCCACTCGTTTTATGTTTCAGCGTAGTACTGACTTGTGTTTTAACCAATCACACTGAAGGTCAAATCTTCCTTATGTTTTTTACCGCTACCTTCTTAAAATGAATACAGTATACCTCATTTTGAGTCTAGACCATATAGTACATGGACTGCTAATTGTAACTCATAATATGTTCATCAAGGACGTTGCCGGGGTATGTGTGTTTCAGGGTAAACGAGTCTGTTCGAAATTGTCCGATGAGACACTGAGGCTGTCAACCTATAAATTAACAAACGTCAATTAATTAATTGCTCAGATATGGCAAAAAAACCAAAACTGTTCTTATTTGTGGACGTATAGAAGATAAGCAAGAGTATTTAAAGCTTCCCATACTACACGGTTACCATAAAAGCTACTCTTTACGCGATCCGAGTGGTGTTCATACGACTTTAGTTTACCCTGAGAATCACATACCCACGACTACAGTGCCCTCTATCCGTGACCGCCCATTTTGTATTGAAAGCATAGGGCTAATAGCAGTCCATGTTGTACTAGGTATATGGTCTAAGGTTTGAGTCCAGAAAGTGACCTATTACATCATAAGGGCGGAAAGTGTTGCGTAGCAACTGATAAATTTCTGACAAGAAGAAATGTCAAATTTATTTAAGACGATAGCTATTTACAATATCATGCGAAAGCGTAAGAATGATTAGTATAATCATTGAATTGTATAATATTAACAGTCTGTCCAATTAAAATTCAGTACGAAGAAATCCCGTGCTGGAAATACGATTTTCGCCAGAAACAGAAATTGTGTACCACGTCCCCATCAGGGTGGATGCAAACAAAAATATTTGCTCAAACCTGGATAAATCACTATTAAATATTCCAAATTTTCAAACCTTTGGAAGAACATCCAGTCTCTTAGGTCATCCATGGTCATGTGAAAAATTTTAGGTTCTTCTACTGCCAAACTTGTGGGTTGCATAACTGTCAGGCATATCAATTCATAGACATTTGAACCAATTGAACATATTATGAGAGTTGTATCCTCAATTTATCTGTGCCTCAAGAGTTAAAATTTACTCACCAAGGCCAAAGTCTTATTTAAGCAAGTGCTGAAAATAATGGGCGTTTTGTTCACCTGGTCAATTTATTTCATAAGGGTACATTTTCCAAATCATTAGGAAAAACTGAATCAATTGAAAAACAGTTCGATTTCTGTATTTTGTAGATCATCCCGTTTAAAATATTATAGTGCAATAGAATAGAAACCATCACATATTTCAACACACATTTGGTGGCGTAGGTACCGACGCACAGTGCCAAGTAAGTCAATTAAATATTATATAGAAGTTAGTTTGGTCTATACTTATCGTAATAAATTGCAAAAATCGTTTAATTATGTGAAATAACACCTTAGTTTTTTTTGCTACGCGTGCATTGTAATTCAGCTATGCCACTGACACTCTATATATGTATAACTGCACATAACTATTCACAATCACAGTAGGGAAAGATGTGAAACATTTGGTATAAATTAGTTGTGCAGTCACAGAGTAGACAAATGAAACAAAGGTTCAATCAATAATTTAATGCGATATCAAATTTTAGTGACGTATGTGCTTGCAAATTCAACATAATTCCCAGTCCGATTTGTGAACCTGTAGGTACCCCACGCAACAAAATAAGTACTTCAGTTTTGTATAAAGAAAATTGCTTTTTGAATTTTCATTAATTTTATATCATTAGAAGTATCAAATGCTAATATGTATCACAAAGTAAAAAACAATAACTTATAGTTAAATTGAGTAACAAGATTGAACAAAAAGGACCCATCAGAACTGCGATTTACTTTGGATCGAAACAATTCAGGCAATCAAATCAATCGATTTGCATAATTGACAACAACAGTTTGTCGCAGCCTCAAACGCAGTATTAGTCTGAGTCAAAAGTATTGTTGCCATTTCCCAAGTACCACATCTTTTATCGCATCTATATATTGGGCCGGTACCCAATAGACCCAGTACCTTGAAGCTTCCGTTGGTCCTAATTGTAATCCCTAAAATGAAAAAAACTCAGAGTTAGTACAAACAGTTGCAATTTACCATAACATGATATTCTTCGTGTCCTTCAATAGGCTCTGAAACTACATTTTTAATAGACTGCATAGGCAACTTCTCTGTGCGTTCCTTTGTACTTAACCATAACTGATCAGCTTCCAATTTAAATGTTAATCTTACTTTTCCACCATGCTTATTCAACATTCCTGACAGAGGAATAGGTGGCAAACTCTCCTAAAGTGCATATTTAGAACAGTTACGATAGTTTAAGGTTTACCTTTAAGTCCTTAATACCAGGCATTACATCCTCTGGTAGACCCTTATCTAATACTTTTCTGTGAATCTTTTGCTTACAAAGAGGTTCCTTTGCACTTGATGCCTTTTCTTGCTCGGCAACATCCTAAAAGTAGTTTTGAAGAAAAAATAAAGGAATGAGATTTTAACCTGCTTTGTAACTGATGACACAGCTAATACGTCATTCAACGTAGACCCCACTAACATAATTTTAGCACCTTTGCTTATACCTAAACTAGATAAGGTTTTATTATCCTGCAGTAGACCTTTATACATAAGTTTCTGCATCGAATCTGGCACTCCTGTAAACAAAAGGTTTACAAAATGTCCCATTAACCAGCCAATCTTACCCAAGAGACCCTGTAATTGTTTCTTAAACTCGGACACAGTACCATTCGCAGACGTACTGACGTCGTATTTATTTTTATTATAAATAACCTTTACGTCGATTAATACATCTTCTATATCTTCATTATTTGTCGAATTGCTAGTTATAGATTCTGTTTTGGGTATTTTACATTCAGAAGGTTCCGTATTTTCCGAAATATCTGTGTGACTATCGACCGAAACGTTTGATAATTTACTATCATTTTCTGTACCTAAAATTTACGTGTAAATTGTAATTAACCTATTGTATTTTTCCAACAAATTCGTGACACGTTTGTTGGTAAAAATGTTCAATGAACAAGGTGACAGTGCATATGAAGAGAAATGACTTGCATTAATTAACATAACAGAGTCAGTGCGAAAACCGTTAAATGCTTGGAAAAAGACACTCTAAGGAATGTGTTGAAGCGTTAATTGGGTTCGTTTATGTAAGATATTTAATAAAATTTTTAAATTACTTTAAACACCAACATACCTAAACACTCCATCTTGAATAATTAATTCAGGAACCAATCACTTTCTTTTATTGCACATTGTAAGCGCTGTTGTCGCTTTTATTTTGACAAACTGCCACACGAGACTTAGAGGTCATCTAACTCGCGCAACGTTGAAATGTATGTACAAGGGAAATACATCTAAAAATGTATTATAGAAGATACAAAATTAACTGAGCAAAGTTATTTTTACTTAAAAGCACTATGTAACGCTCGAGAGCTAAGTATTTCTCACATAATCCAGGCAGTGTATATATACAGTGCTTCAAAGTTTTGAAGATGATCCCCACTTGAAATAAAATAACTGCACTGCACTGTATGTTATGATTGGTGAATGATATGAAGTTGTAACTTTTCTTCTTGCTAAGGCAAAAACCATGAAGCTAGCAACGTAAACCATAACATATCAAGAATCATTTAAACATTAAATTGATTTTGCTAGTGGTTTTTAGGACCCCCCCTCCTAAGCAATAAATAATATGCCCCCTAAAAAGCGTGAAAAGGATGTTGATTCATCTAAAAATCCAAGAATGGACCATATACAAGCCGATCACGAATTATTCTTACAAGCATTTGAAAGTAAGCTTTTGTGTTTTGTTTACTTATGTCAGTTGTTTATCAGATTAATTTTTTCCTAAATGAAACATTGCATTGTTTTTATGTATTTTCAGAGCCAACACAAATTTACAGATATCTCCGAACAAGAAATATGTGCTCGGTAAGTGCTAGCCTAAGCTTTACAGTTTTGTGTAATTTAGTGAGGTTTTGTTGTAACAGCCGATCTTCCTCAATCGTTCACTATCTTACATGAAAGATCGCATGTCCAGATCGAACAAGTCGCGCGTAAATTTCAAAATTGACAGTCTTTTGGAGCGAATTACGCAACGTCAAAAAGATTCGCCCTCATTGAACACACCCGGCTTCATGAATATCACATTCTTGGGATTTTACGATAAAGCTTTAGACTCGAACGCGTGCGTAGCTCAAGTAGAAACATTTTTAGTCAAAATTAGTCATAAGAAACGCAAGGACAGCTCGGCGCCTACGATGCAGGTGTCGGTGGGTACGGCGGAGGTTGTTATTAATCCGGCTGATAACAACCTACCGCCACTTGCACCTTCGATAAGCGTTTCAACGGAATCTTTCAGCTTGCCGGGGGGGCCACTAGCGAGATCTTACATTTTATTACGGGTACGCTGTTTTCCCACAAACGCGGAGAACGACGAGGAGTCGCCTATAAAAAGGCGCAAGTCGATTGGTGCCAATTTGAATTTGCGCGTCTTCGAGGAGTCCAAATTGTATGGTTCTGAGCTGGTCGTTTATGATAAGCATAATCGGTGCCTGCTGACCGATGGTGATTACGAGGTTTTCTTGCAAGAAGTGACTACAGCGACCAAAAATTCACCTAAGAAACATTCTAGTTGGGAGAATGTTTCTGATTTTGGTGACAATTGTACCAATTTCGATTCCCAAATTAAAGGCCCAAGTGTGAAATTTAAATTGAATTGGTCCGAGGAGGCGTGCAGTCGGTTTGTTGATTGTCCTCGGCCGTATCCGATTGGGGAAAATAAGGAGAATGTACCCGTTGTTAACAGTAACGCTCAGGAGAAGCTGCAGATTGTTTATCAATTTGTTTATAACAATAATTCGCGTCAACAAACGGAAGCCTGTGAGGATTTACACTGCCCTTGGTGCAGCTTAAACTGTTCCACCCTATATACACTTTTAAAGCACTTGAAATTGTGCCATTCGCGTTTTACCTTCACCTACGTACCAATTTCGTTCGGGGCTCGCATTGATGTGGCAATTAACGAGCTGTACGATGGCTCTTACACCGGCTCACCTCACGATCTCATATCTCAACCGACCATGTGCGCATTTTCGAGAAACGGCCCAGTACGACGAGCTACGGTCACGCACATTCTCGTTTGTCACCCGAAGCGACCCAAGCCGAGCCTCTCTGAGTTTCTGGAGCTGGATGATTGCGACTACGACGGACAAAGACCCTTCATAACCGGACATAATCGACTGTACCACCACACCACGACTTGTTTGCCTATTTATCCCAAGGAGATGGATGTCGATTCGGAGGGGGAAAACGATCCCGAGTGGCTGCAGGCTAAGACAATGATGATGATAGACGAATTTACGGACGTAAACGAGGTAGTATAGTGTCACTAAAAGGAAAAAACTAGAAAGCTAATTTTTTTTTGGAAATGTTGAATTAGTAGTTTTGCTTTATCAATCCCAAAAGGTTTGGGGAACATGAGTCAACTTGGGAAAAAGACATCCAAAATACAAAATTCTCTGTGGTTCTGTAAAATAGGAAATAATCTAGCCTAATTATTAACGTATAAAAGTGCAGTCGATCTATTACTAAAACCGGCGTGGAAGTAGGCGGTGATATTTTACATTGTTTTTTTGCATTTAAATTGTCAAAAAAGGTGGTATTTTTGACATGGTTGACATTGTTTATTTTGATTTGTTAGATTTAATGATCTAAAATTGTTGTTGTAATTTTCGCGCCTCCCTCACCATAGGGCACGCACTATAACCATCATTCTACATTACTCACACATTTCGTGCGACTGCCTAAGCCGCGTTAGATTCAGCCTCAAAATGCACTTTGTCTCTATTTAATCAACTTCGTGCGTCTAACGGTTTCTAAGATCCCAAGGGTCACTCTCGAATTTGGGACACCCTATACAGGGTGGTGCCTTCCTTATGGAAACACCCTTTATTTTTTAAGAGATAGAAAAAAATTGACCTAGATGTCTGGAGCTCAATTTTAAAGAGAGAATCACTTGTGCAAACAGAAACAGAACTATGTCTAGGCCACTAGCAGGCATTTCTTTTTTTTTTAGTCATTTTCTTTAATGCCCCATAACTTTCTCATTATTAAAGATAGTTGATTTTGACAAATTCGTATCTAGATACACTGAAACAAATGTATCTGTATCTGGTTCTAGAAACTCAAATAAACGTATCTGCCACAACACTGCATACAATCTCCAATCACATGCCCAGGGCCGTATCTAGGCGGTGGCGCAAAATTGGTCATGAAAAAATTTCTTTTAACATTAGTGTACCTATTAGGAAAAAAAATCAGTTTATTAAATAAATGTTATTTCAGATTGTTAATACTGTACGTGCTGTGACTGTGAATAGCTGGGTCGTTACAAAGTGATATTACCTTCATCTCTGCCCTTCCCCCCTTTTGCCTCCTTATGGCAATGTAATATATACAGTGTGTCCAATTTAAGAAGAACAAGCAAGTCAAATGATATTTTAATAATTTGTAAATTCCGATCAGTTCCGAAAAGAAACGAAATTAATCATATTCGGTTTTATTTTTTGCCGGCCCTGTTTGAAAAGATATCAAAAAACAAATAGCACTTCCTCATAGGAACTTTTTAAGCTGTACAATTGGCGTCTTTGAGAAACCATCAACAACGATGTATGCCACAATAAGATTCTTTATCACCTATATCATTAAAAGGAACAATCAATGAATTATTTTGATATTTTGTCAACGCCTACTACAGTAAAATGTTAAAAATTATTAATTATTTAGCTCAGAAAAATGGCTTGTTACTAAATTTTTAACATTTTTGGTTTAATAGACGTTGACAAAATGTCAAAATGATTTGTTCTTCTAAATGACATATTGTACCATACATAATTGTATCCGTAATCAAAAATGCTACTCAATACATTATGTACTTTTTTCCGGTCCATATAAAAATATGAAGTTGATGATGGTTTCTCAAAGACGAAACGTCGCAGCGAAAATCTATTAAAATGGTGAGCTTAAAAAGTTACTTTCGGTTTTTTTCGAGGTTTTTTTTTATATCTTCGAAACTGATCGGAATTTCCGCATTTTTAAAACATCGTTTTATTAAGTCCTAAAATGCGCAACTCTTTCCAATTTAACCGACTGTGTACTTCTTATGGTTTCCGATGTGTCCATGATGTTCATTCTTATCTTGGACACACTGTATTTTGTAATCTTTTCTCCATGTTTTAAAGAAGCGAAATTCTCGGATCAAAAAGATTCGAAACCTTGAACTTGAGAAAATTTTCGGAGGTTTTTGTTGGGGGATATTTCATACCCCCACGCGCAGGTGGGGGGGGGGCGCAAACTTGAAGTGCCGCCAAGGGCGTGGTCATATTTAGTTACGGCCCTGCACATGCCGAGTTTGATACAGTTTCTTGGACAAACACTTGCATAGTGTTCATACAGGTTCCAAATGTGCATGCAAGAAAATAGAAGTCATTTCATATATTAGAAATGATGTAAGAAAATGCATAGTATCATTAGCGTATCCAGAATGTTGTCGAGGGGGGGGGGGGGGTAAGATATTCGCGCCGAGCAGGTTATTTGAATCATCAATTTTAGTGCTTCTGGGAATTTGCTTGATTTGTCTTACGATTTCATGTTCTAAACTAATCTGGAAGGAGGAATATGCATAGGAACTCAGTTTAGAACGAAAGGATATCTCCAGTTTGTGAATGAATGTTAAACAAACGATTATTTTCAGAAGTATTATCAAAGAATTTATTTTGAATAGAATAAGTATAAATATAATTTCAAACTCAAACAAAACATTTTCGATTCATATTAGATATGAAGTAATAATAAAGTAATAAATGTATAAAGAAGTAAATATGAGTTAGACAGACGGAGTGGAAGTTTCCTTTTTTTGAGAGCAAGTTCATCCAGCACTTCCTCAATGATTACAGCAATATGCCTGTGAATATTCAACAAAGCTAGACCATTGAGGCGATTTTCGCTGATGGTATTTCTCAAATAAGTTTTGAGCCGTCTCAGGGTAGAAAATTATCTTTCACTGGTGGCAGTTGTCACAGGTAAGGTAACTAATATTCTTAATAAGAAATTCACTGTTGGGAATATTTCTGGATTGCACATTTTCAGTGCGTCCAGAGCATTTTTTGGAGAACTGTGCGAAGAAGAAATATATTGCCACCAAAGTTTCATTCCTGGTTACATTTCACCAACTGCTGCTACCTCATCGATATCCAAGATATCCCCGACTTTTCGCGTAGTATCATTGCTGTTTTTGTGGGTGCCCCGCAATATGCAAGGGCCGAGGCGAGAGCGCACCCCCCAAAGGGGGGGGGGGGGTTGAACCCCCAAACCCCTCCCTTGTATACGCCACTGCATAGTATCATACAGCCCTTGAATGATTTTGGCAAAATCAATTATATTTAATAATAAGAAAGTTATGGGGCAGAAATCGACTACATTAGAGAAATTCCCCCTAGCGGCCAAATTATTAGAGATATGCATCTGAATTCTGTTTGCGCCAGTGATATTCTCTTCAAAAATTGAACTCGACACTCCATTTTTTTCTCTCTTCTCTTAAAATAACGGATGTCGGTCTGTGTGGCACAGTGGCGTGGAAGCGCTTCTGCGGTACTAAGGGTCCCTGGTTCCAATCCGAGTTCAGGCCTGGCTGTTTGTAAATGTATAGTGGTTTGGGTAGGTAAAGCGGACTTGGCTGAAACCCCGCCCACTTAAAAATAAAGTTTAAAAATAAAATAAAGGGTGTTTCTATAAGAGAGTGTCCACCCTATACACCTTTGTTTTTATGGCCAGAAATACGTAAAGAAAATAGTTGAAGGTATGTGAATGTGTTTTGGAAAATCGCAAATAGAAACCATGAACATTGCCTTGACAGAACTTTCTAAATCCTTTATTTCTTCTTTAGCAAGCTTCAGAAATGGGATCTCACCCTAATCCTGGTCACAATTTGACGTTTCTGGAGACTGCATGTTATTCTTTAACTGGTTCTAAAGACTCTAATGGAAGGATTGCTGTTAACCTGAGTGTTAACCCTCGCATGACCAAGACATGAAATTTTTCGTGGGTGCCCAAGCGGTGCGTTGCCCCCAGAGCTGGGTCGAGCGTTCTAAAAAACTGCTCGAGCGAGGAGCGCTCAAATTTTCTCAAAAATGCTCGCGATCATCGAGTTGTTTTTCTGAGCACTCCCAAAAGTGCTCGAGCGGTTTATTGCGAGCGCTCGGGAAAAGAACTCGTGAGCGGAAAAAAACGCTCGCGAGCGGTGCTTAACCCTTCAGCACTTGAGGGCGGTTAACAGTGCTCAGGAGCGGAAAAAGCGCTCGCGAACGGATAAAAACGCTCATGAGCGGAAAAATCGATAGTAAAATTTGGAGATGAAAGGGCCCATTCAAAAATTCATATTTCTGAAACCGTTCAAGATAATCGAGTGCAGATTTTTATAGTCGAATAATAATAATAATGGAATTTATTGTTCAACAGACACTCGGGTCCATAATTGAACAATATTCAATTACAAATTCACTTAGTGGTTAAGCTACATTTGTTAATCTAAGAAATAAATACACTGACAAAAACAGAATAATGACTATAATAAAAAAAAGTAATACTTGTTTTAAACGTGATAAGTGAGAAGTGAAGCAACTAAGACTACAAGTTAATTCCTAACATATAAATATAATATGACAAAAAAACAAACCTAGCGATAAACAAAATTAGTATACCGTTACTCCTAGGTTACTAAATAATACTATTCATTACAATGTGTTTGTACTAAACGTAAAATGTACGCCAGAGAATTGAAGTTGAATATCACAACTATATCATATATCCTTAAAGTCTAAGGAATTTTTTGAGTAACCATTGAAAGTCTCGAAAAAGTTTCCAGGGCTGCTGCTATTTTTCAAAATTAGCAATAAAAAATGTAAAAAACTTTAGATTTCTGATGCCAGAAATGAATATAGATTTGATTGTTAGGGCCCATTCCGAATTCTGTGATTAACATTCTGAACGGTTTAATAGATATGAATTTTTTCTCCAACCACCTGAATAAGACGCTATTTTGTGACGGTGTTCGGTACGTAAAATTGACGTTTTGCGGATTAATCGCTTTCACCATGGCAACTGTACAAAAAGTGGATACTTTTGGTCCTAGTACCAAAAAGAAATTGACCTTGAAAGTTGACCAATTAAAAAATTACAATCACGGAGATATGTCACATTGACATCGGTTTACATTGCAGGTTGTAAGATATTTCTATACATACAAATCAAATATTTTTGCATATTCAATGCAAATAATGCTGTTACCTATTATACGTATGTACATGTATTGAAAATGATTTACGCTCGCTATTTTTATTTAAATCATGTGTAACGTAATTTACATATTCGGTGAACGTAATTTTAATACGTATACAACCCGCCGTCGCGCGTAACGCCATCTACTTAAGACACATTGCACTATTATCTGTCATTTTGAATTCAAAATTTGAAAAAGTTAATTGCAATTAATTTTAATTAAAAAACTGTATGGTAAGTTTTTTATTTCAATACAAAATATAACAATATTAATTGTGTATGCATTAGAAATGACTGAAACTGATAGCGACATGGATTGCACTCCGCCAGAGATTATAGAAACGGCAGAACATGCTACCTCAAGATTTGCTCCCTACAAAGTCACGAGAGGTGAGAAGTAAGAAGTAAGAACGAATAGGTTATAAGTTAACCTAAAAACTAGAGTGGCATGACACGTGAGAACAAGAAAGCAGATGTTCTTATACTAGTAGTGAAACTGTGACTGAATCTAAATTCGAATATAATTTGAAGTAAAGGCGGTTGGAGAAAAAATTTTATGTTTTATTCGTACAAAAAATGCGTTTTCGGGACTCGGAAGGTTGCTGGACTCCGCTGACGCGTCGTCCAGCAACTATCTTCCTCGTCCCGAAAACTGACATTTTTTGTACTAATGAAACAAATAACTATTGAATGGACCCGTTCATCTTCAAATTTTTTGAGAAAAATTGACATATGTCAAAACTATGACAGATAGGTACACAAATGCGTTATATATTCAGAATAAAATGGCGCATTTAGAAAAAGTAGAAAATTGTGTGTTGCTATTTAAAAAAAGCAAAATGGCACCAACTTCCGGTATTTACGGAATCAGCGCCATCTTGAAATTATTAATACTCCTCGAGATCGTTATTTATAATTTTGTTTTTCTGTTTGTCTGTCCGTGTGCACGATAACTTTGTGTAGAAACGTCCGATCGCTTTGAAAAATGGTACACATGTTCTTAAGGATATAAGAAAGGTCGCTATTCTATTCTTCACAACTGTATTTTGAAATGATGATAAGACAAAAAAAGTGAAAAACCATTTGTCACATCTGCCACGTAAGTTTTCATTGGGACCCCACGCGATTTTAAAAAGGAAACATTTTCAAAAAAGAAATTAGTTTACTATCAGTTTTTTCCTTCAACTCACAAATTTTTACATAAAGTTACCATACTAAGGGAGAAAAGGAGCTGATGAAGATGTGGAATCTGCACGTGATGAAATACGGATTCGTCGGCGATTGCCAAATTCCGCTCGCGTGCGCCATGTTCGTGCAGCACAAGGGCAAAGAGCTGCTGCTGAAAAATCTGTATCGGAATTTCGTCGTGCACATGTGCAGCCTGTTCGATTTCGGTCTAGTCAGCGCCGTATGTCTGTACCAGACGATCCAGAAGTTGCAGGAGATGGTCAGCAAAACTTGTGCAATACGAAACGTGCTGAGGGAATCGCGGGAGGCGCAGATAGACAATTGGACGAAGAACTTGGCGAATCCACCGGCGGAAAAGTTGGAGAACGTCAACAAGACGCCGATCGGATTGCGTAAAACGACCGCGGTTGGAATACGAAGGAAGGGCACGCCGACGCCGGCCGAGGGACCGCTTCGCCGCAAGTCGACTGGCGGTGAAAGCAGTAGGAAACGGCTCTCGTTATCTTTAAATAAATCCGAGCATAAATCTGTTAGCTAGTTTTAATTATTCGTAATATCATGTGAGGTTAAGTCTGCCTGGGTTGGGTTGTGGAGCTTGGACGGTACAAAAATTTTCTCGTCAGTTACCTTACCTTGCCAACTCACTCCAAAATTTGTCTGAAGTATGCTAAACCTATTTAGGGGGCGAAAGGTAGGGTGACTTACGGCTCAATTTTCCTGCTGGAAGAGCTATAGACAAAGCAGTTGCTTCATTCATATTCTTCAGATACACACGGTGATGTGAGTATTAAAGTAACAAAAGTGAACCTTTACCTTTTGTATTTATTAGCTTTGAAAAACGCCAGCGTACATTTGACCCGAACACAATCTACTGACTGTTTCTTACAACAGTGAAGTTAGTGCTTTGTAGTTGGAGATATTGTTTTTTTGTGGTATTGTGATGAAAATTTCCTTACACAAATCAACATTCTATATAGCATTGGTATTTCCAAAATTTCCATAGTAGGTAGTATTTTTCTCCATACATATATAGTGGGTTGGGTTGGTAGAGCAGCCCATGGCTGAAACCCCGCCCGCTTAAAAAATAAAGTCCAAAATAGAATATTAAAAAATGTGTATAAGTTTTTAGTTCAAATGGCGCTTCGTGCGGCAACATTTTCGAGGGTCTCAAAATTTTTTGTAGATTCCTCTAAAGAAATGCAGCTGTTAATACTTTTGGTATGTAGTTCAAAGACTTGTATTCAAAATGAATTTTAAAAAATGCTAATTTAACTGTAGCCCCACAATGTTACGTAATTCCATTTAATTTTCAGAATGCAGCCTTATGATTTTAGTTCATCCAAATTACTTTCAATTTATCAATTGAACATCCTGTATATTTTTGAAATGTTAGTATTGCCACATACTAATTGCTGGATACACATTCTCAAAGCAGTTGAGAACTTGTATTTCTCACATCTTTCGAGGTTGAAAGTCCTTTTGGTCGAATGAAATATCTAAATTTCAACAGGAATAGTGTCAAAAAAGTACACACATTATCGAAAAAACATACTAGCTTAACAGCAAAAATGAAAAATTCAATACTTTATTCAACAAAACTTCAATCTCTTACACAACTAAAATGTGACCGAGATATCTTGGATGTAGAAGTCTCAAAAATTGCAATTTTTTAATTTTGGAATAAGCAAATTATGCAATACTTACATTTGAGAATCTTGTGAAATTGAAATCTAAATAATTGTAAGGTGCAAATCGCGAGTACAATTTTTGAAACTTTAACTCTCTTTACCTCTCTTTTTTGAAATTTCACCTGAAGTTAATTTTTTTAAATTTTTGAATCTGCTGAAATGGAGAATTGTTTGGTGTTGGCAAATTTGAATATTATTATATTGAAGTTGTCAATCTTAAATGAGATTTATCTGTTCTACAGTTTTCGAAATCCATGGATGTTTTAAAGAATGCAAAAATGCAATGCTTTGAAGAATACACAATAGTTCTGGATACACGAACCAGTCAAAATTAAACTTTTTATGAGCCAAAACAGACAATCAACTAAGAATGAAAAAGTATTTTCATCTGAAAAATCGTTTGCATATACACATGTGTGTGTTTGTGGAAGTTTTCATCTCGATACTACGACCGGGAAAGAAAAAAAACTTTGCATGATATTAAATGTGATTGCTTTGTTTATTGCATTTATTTTCCTTGATTCTTTAGAGTAGTTTGAAAACACTATTGTGTCATGGGAGGGGGGGGGGGGGAGGGGGTTAGCTCATTTTACTTGTATATAATTCATTTATATTTGACATGTTTGTTTTAGCAATTTTAGTTTGTACAGATAACCACTCGGACGCTAAGAGCCGATCCCTTATTTAGTGATTCACGGAAAAATATGCCAACAGCTACCAGAGCAGGATCAAGTTAACACTAGTATAAAGGCTCCAAAGAGATCTTTTATGTTATGGTTTATCTATACCTAGACATTCCATACATTGACACATTGAAATGTAATGTGAATTGTGATTATAGGAAAGCCAATCTTAAAGTATGTTAATGATATTTATTGACTGCCGATAATTAGGTGAAACATTGTGACAAGTAGGTTTAGGTGGGTCCCGATAGCGTAATTTTACTACCTACCTATTATACATCACTGCCAAACTTTTTGTATGAATGATTAGCATAAAAATTGATACACGTTAGTCTAGTCATGATTAAATGGCGGATCATGTGTGAAATCGATAATTACATATTTTGCTTCAGTTAGTGTTCGTGCCTTACTAGTCTCATTTTCATTTTTGTCATTTTTGAAAAGTTGTACTGCCTGAATGTAGGTATCATGTGAAGTTGTGGTGGTAACACTAACACGGCAAATGAAGAACTGATAAGAAAGGATATTGCGAACTCTAATTTTATTAGAAAAACGGGAGAGGCATAGTATAATGTCCAATTTTATTCTCTGGTTTTTGATTTTATAATTTTTTATTTATACTGTATAGATGTCATTAATTAGCGACTATGTAATTTGTGTTCATTTTTCTGAAATGTATTGATACACCGACTATTGTGTGTAAATAAACATTTTTATATTTATTGAAAAACTAGTATGCTGTTCCCTTTTGCAATGACATGTGTCGAACAGTTCTCTTTCATATGACACTCTTTTCAATACGAAATTAAATATTAATTTTAATCTTACAACTTTGATAAGCAAATTAAAAATGTCTAGTAATCAGAATAAGAAGAGCAAACGTAAATGCTGTAAACCCTCGGGTATGTAAAACCGTCTTCTAGTGTACTTGCCACAATTTTATAATAGGGTTCTAGCGAAAGCATTAGAAGGCGCATTCTGTTGCACACCGGCAGTTTTGAATAATGAAGCGTCGATATCGGCAGCAAAATCGGATGGTAACATAAAGCATCAAGAACTCGGTTTAAAACAAAAATTTGTCAATAAAGTCAAATCTTGGAGTAGTAAAGATAAATTGATCCGAAATGAAAGCGCAACAAGCTCCTTGAAGGTTTGCGGTGCCACACTATCCGTTTGTACTAACAAGATCAATTTCAGGCCGATCCGGATGTAACAACGCTATCGTCTAGGCTCGAAAATTTACAGTTAAGTCGTAACAACTCGGAGGAGAAAATGTTTCAAACAAAAATATTCCACGCTAGGGACAGTTTGGAGAGTATATCGATAAGTAAATCAAAGGTTTGTATGTACCACGTCGGATATGTTAAAATTCTGTGTAGTTTAGTGTAAATGATGACTCGAAATTATCTTTAACAAAGGAGATAGACGTGGCGCTTTCAGAATGTACTTTCAATACTAGTAAGACGAAAACAGATTCAGCTAAGCTCACTTGGGATCCCTGGAATAAGAGAGGACGAGAAAATAAGGTAGGTACACATTTCTCTTCCTACTATGTATATCAAAGTATTTTCTCTTCTTGGAGTCCTAGGATTAGTGGGACGCAGTTCTCCACCCTTCCCTATCCTGCGCTAATCTACATAACTACCCTTGCCTACGTCCCTAACTATTTGGTCTTTGTATCTAAGTGTAATCTTGTAATACTCAAAAGCAAGACACGGAATAATGACATGTCTGTGGAAATGCCTTCAAAACTTTACAATATGAATTACCAAAAATAGTCCAGTAAAATTAGATTTGAAGGGGGGGGGGGAGTTCCTCAGTCACCTGGGGAAAGCTGGCAAATAATTCTAAAACCTTGCAAACGAGTTATCTGAGTGTGTACTCCTCCAGTGGCATGACTTTTGCTTTTACTCCTAAACAAAGCATAGTAACGAAAACCTTACCAAGAGACAAATTAAAAAGCATTAAATTCTGCAAGCCCAGTCAGAACTGATGTGATGAAACAATTTGTTCCTTTCAAAAAAAAAGCTCTTGTTGCATCGACTACAGCATCACCAATAGAGGTGACTTTGGTTTTCAGCTGAGACTTCTGTTGTTTCTTTGCGTTGATAGTATATTCGTCAAGGTGTCATGCTTACTATTGTTGTTAATCAACGTCAGATGGACGTTCTTTAGTTTGGAATAATGTCGAAGATAAGGACGGGCCATCCTGTACGTGTGGACGTTGCAATTTAGTTTAAATCTGGAGGATTTTATGACGAATAAGCATGGAATTGATTTATTTAATCGAAATTTGTAATGTTAGCATATTTAGCTTTCTTTTTTGTCAATGAGTTACGACACTCAATACCTGGACTGATCTCGACAATCAACTGGTAGGTTCGAAACGCTGACGAGGGGCGAGCTATCTATCTCGGGGACGAGATTGTGCTAATAAAAACTCTTCGGTTTAGAATGTAAGTGTGTTATATGAGTTGCGATTCACAAATTTCCACATATTTTGCTGTAATGTTGAATTTGATCTACAAGGCCATTTAATTTTCCATCTTGCTCTGAACAGAAGGCTGTTATTGTACCAAAGATGAGTCACATCGTGTGTATTTCACTCTTTCTCAGAATCTTAGTAAAAACAAAACTTGTTTTTAACCTATATGTCACCCCTGATGGAAACCTGCATGCTACATATTTTGTTAGTATTGCTGTCTAAGAGCCAGTGAAAAACAGACCCAACATATTTCAGTAAACCCTCAATTTTGTCCAAAGACTCTCTTATACTTACTGTTCATGAGTGGGGGACTAGCTTAGCCAGATCGAAGTAGGTTGAGTGGCGCTCGGGTGAAACAGCTATAAAAATTACACCATATTCGAAAGTATTTCAGTAAAGCTGCCATTGACATATTTTAAATTATATCATTTCTTTTATTGGAAAATCACGATGGCAGATAGTTATGGCGGTTGTGAAGTCACGGCAGACTCAAAGTTGAAAAAAAAATTAATTTAAAAAATATTTCAGTAAATCTGAAATTGAAATATGTTATTCTTAACAGTATTTCTAGCTTACATTTATCATGGCAGACATTTTCATCGGTTATAACAATCTGGCAGACAGATAAAGTACCGCTCGAGCATACGTATACATGTGTACAGTAAGTAAGTACTTACCTACTTTTCTGTCAATTTAATTAGCATGTTCTTGAATTTACTATTACCTACTAGTGGTTGACCACACCCCATTGCGCACAGCGTTATTTATTTTGGCGCCTAACGTGGGGCCACGACAATATTTTCTACCATATCTGAGTATGTAATAATGCGTTACTGATCGCTTAAGACCTGTCAGATTCGTATAGTGTTCACTATCAACTACTGCCTGTGTTCAGAGGAAGAAATGGTCTGTAGCTACTTAAATATTAATTCGTTCCCTTCACCTATGAATGTCTGATTTTACGTTCATTTTAGAGACGCAAAGAAAAATCGCCACACACATCGCGAGAAAGGACGGTGGACAACTTGAAAATAAAGAAACCCAAAGGATGCATAGCCGGTGACGAATTGCACATACCCAGCTTTGATATGAAAAGAATTGATGGCAGAGCGTGCGAAGACACTTACGTGTACCATCCCCACAATAATCCTCCAAAATGCGTGACTTTCGTAAACCATGTCGACGTAATCTATTTTGCGAACGACGAAATTTTAAGGAAAGTGTCCGAGCCGCTGAAAAAAGAATCGGACCAACAAATTCGTAATAAAGAAATGAGAAAAGGTCACGTTCCTTGCACTTTATTCGGAAAGAGACAGTCGGCGAGCGAAAATTATATGTCGGCTTGGTTCCGAAAGTGATCACGAAAAAATAAATCGACCATTATTTTGTATTTTTTATTTTCAAAAGTACCAATTCCTTAACACGCTCGTATTGAAAATATTGTGGAAAGTTTATCGGTAATTCTTCAACTGATATTCCCTTTAGCTTCCCTAAGCAGTCCATGAAAAAGTCGTAGCATGGTGCACAAACGTCACAGTCTGCTATTGTAAAGACATATCTCTTTTCTAAAGCGATGTATACCGTTTCAATGTGCTTGTATGCAAGAAGTACGTCCAGCATTTTTACAAAGTCTTGAGTTAGCTGGTCGTCATAGATCACTGCAACAATTATACAAATTATATGCAAGTGGATGGGATTGACTTACCATCAGCTGCAATAATTGTTTTAACATGTGGTAGTGCGGAGATGACTTCATTGTTAAGGTCTCGCTGTGTGAAGTCAATTTCTGTTACAAGAGCCGTGTATCTATTACTTAGATTATTGCGATTAATATTCGATTCAAGTAATTTTAATATATTACCTTTATTAACATCTACAAATTAAATTATTAAGTCTATGCTAAAAATTAGAACATCTCATGGAGGAACTGGTCGCAAATATCGAACTTGTTCTTGTCACAATTTACAACCAAACATCATTTCAATATGGTTTAGTGGAAGGACAAACTTTCTATTGTACTGTTTTTTCCTATGAATGGATATTGTAAATATGGGAAATAGTTCGTAGCCGTTAAAGAAATAATTTTTGGTCATCGGCCGGTCTACATGACTTTTTAAACATTGCAAATTTGAATACGTAATCTTGCAAGACAGACGAACGAACAAGGTTAAAAGTAAAGTATATACTGTGATGATATTAAAAACCTTGTAAATTTTGAATTTGCTCTTGAATGCATTCGGAAAACATGCTGGGAATTTTTATCATTTTAAAATGATCTCCTCGTACAATTTTTCACCCTTAACGAATGTACCTAAGCTAAAAGAGTCAGGGTAAGTTATAATTGGACACCCATGCTGTCGTTGCTGTAAAAAGTAACAATGTAAAAGAGCTGTATATTTGTACCAGTTCCTCTAAACAGATATATGTTTGCCACCACGTCATTCCTGAGTGGAAAAAGTTTATTTCCACATAAACAATTTTAAAATTGAAAGCTCAAGTTGCGGTTTTGCTCATATATGTAAACTGACATCAGTATTAAAATGGCGACCATCATACTGAAACCATATACGCACCTGTACAAATCACATCGGAAAACATAGAAGCTACAATACTAGTCAATCCGGTGCCAGAACCGAGTTCCAAAATTTTCAAATTTCGTTTTATCAACTCCTCTCTGATGTAAAGTATCCAATCGGCCAATAGTAAAGCGCCTCGCCATACCTGAAGACCCACCAATGATAACTCTGTTCGTTTACTATGTTCTAAAACAAAAAATAAATTGTCGACTGTGGTTACATAAAAAGAAAGAGTAAAATTATTGGGGGTGTGCCAATTTATTACTCTCGATCATTCGGATTCTTTGCGATAATCTGGCGGTTGCGTGGTCCGCAACTATGTTGGATTATCAAGATTGTATGATTGTTTAAAATCAATTATACTTATATATAGGGTGGTGACTTGCGTAACGCATCATAGCGATTTCAATGTAAAATTCATAACATGCGATTATTGGCTCCCCAAATTATTTTAGAGCAAAAATGTATTAAGGTTTTTGTAGAAAAATTTTTTTACGTCAATCAACCGTATTAGTTTTCAATTTTTTGCATAATAAAGACGGAAAATTGGAAAAATAAAACCCCCATCTTTTTCAATAATCTGTGTTGCTATGGAATTTTATAATATGCAAAAACTACGCCAATATCCATCGTGCCATGGAATGTTTGCTATAAAACAAATCAAATTCTATCAAAAAGTATTATATTTAAAACAGCGAATTTAACATAAAGAAAGACCAAATTACTAAAAACGGTTTCCTAATATAACAATTTACAATAAATGTTCGAATAAGTCACCATTAACTGCAATAACCAAGTCGATCATAAAATCCATTTCGAACTGCTGGCTAATTGATAACTGGATATATTTTTGTTTTAGAAAATTCCATGGCATCCCAGATTACTGAAAAAGATGCGGGTTTTATTTTTCCAATTTTCCGTCTTTATTATGCAAAAAATTGAAGACTAATACGGTTGATTGACGTAAAAAAAATTTTTCTACAAAAACCTTAATACATTTTTGCTCTAAAATAATTTGGGGAGCCAATAACCGCATGTTATGAATTTTACATTGAAATCCCTATGATGCGTTACGGAAGTCACCACCCTGTATAGAATTTCATTTTTTTTTTAGTTTGTAAAAATAATAGGACGGTCCATTAAAAATATCTCGATAACCATAAGCTTAACTGCTGATTTTAATTGGGACCTATTTACTGCATATGTGATGAATTGGTGGAAATGTGGTGGTAGGTAATTCCATATAGCTGATCGAGTTGTTATTATAGTAAAGAGAATTAAATGAGGGAAACAGGATAGCACTCCAATGCTAAGTAATAATATCGATACTGTATATCGTAATTGTAACCATTTGTTTTATGGGGTGGCCCAAGGTGTAACACTTGGTCATTTACTGTTAATTTTAATACCGGTTTCCGAGCGGGAAATCTAAATGCGAGGCACGATTCTCATACATTGTTCAAGGTGAACAATTTTTAACCAACTTATCTCCAGTTTTATCAACAATTAAACACTTGTTTAGGTTAATACATTACAAATATCTAAATAGGTAATTAAGTTATCTAAACAGGAGACTTTAATGGACTATACTAATATACCTATGTTTTCATGGCATTGAAAATTCTTCAAAAAATATGTCGGAAATGGTAAGTATTATAGCAGGCATGGTTAGGAATTGATTAGGGCAAAATTCCCATTTGAGTGGACTTTTTTATTGAACTTCTAGAAGCTTCTTAAAAGAAACGCCTAAAAGTTCAATGTTGTAAAAGTTGCGGAAAATTTTTTATTAAACAAATAAGACTAAACAAATTGTTTTTCAGCAATAAACTTTTCATTTTTTTGAAAATCTGAGTAAACCATGCGAAGGAACGAATAGTTATCAGGCCACAAATTGTAAAAAACCTCCAGATGCAGGTATGGGGTCTTATGGACTAATAAATACCTATCATAACTCGCGTCATATGATGCCAAACTGACATTATGATTGAATTGATGTACCTAAAACAACATAATCTCCCTGTGCTGTTATTGTCACATTTGTGAATAAGATTGGCAAACATGTATATTGCATGTCCATAAAGCAGCGCTGCATCTGGAGGTGCGAATAACGCGCTATAGTGGAGACCATTATGACCAATTTAATAAAATCAAAACTGAAACGTGTAAAATTCATTTAGTTTTGCAAAATTAAGTCAGTACCAGACCATCCTAACTTAATTTTGAGGGTAGCTTGGCAGGTAAACAGAATTTTATGGTTTTTAAAATGATCTCTCTCTCTCTCTCTCAAGGCAGGAGGGGGGGGGGGATATTGTAATTTTAAAGTGGTGGGGCGCAGGGGTATTTTCCTTTGGACAGTTGCTAGTCCAGGAAATAGAGACTGAAAGTGGACCATTTCCTGCAAAACGAGAAGTAGTTCCACTTTTTTTTGCATGTCATGAAAGAATATCTGGTGGTTAAGAATCCAAGTTTTCGACCTCCCACCCCCTGTGCTTCCCCCGTAGCACCAAAGAAATTTGGTTGGTTTTTTAGTTTTTCAATCATATCTTTTTATAGATTCATTTTACAAAAAAATATTGTTATCAGAAATTGTAGACTATAAAATTCTACACAACTTTGATATACACTAGTTTTTTTTGAAATGTTTATTAAAAACGGTATAGAGCTTCAGAGTTGCTTATATTTTGAAGAATTCTGAAATTTCTATGTAGATGTTTTAACCAAATTTTATACTTTATCTCTAAAATTAAGAGTTTTATGAGAAAATATCTTGAACTTATCGTGGTATAAATCCCCTACGCTGCACCCTTACCAAAGGATATTTGAATCACTGAGATTGTAGCGCTGCTGTAGGGGGCAGAGTAGGGGGGTTTATACCAGGATAAGTTCAAGATATCTCATAAAACTCTGAATTATAAAGTAAGAAATTTGGTTAAAACATCTACCTACATAGAAATTTCAGAATTCTTCAAAATATAACCAACTCTCAAGCTCCATATCTTTTATAATAAACATTTCACAAAAAAGTAGTGTATATCAAAGTTCTCTAGAATTTTATGGTCTACAATTTCTGATAACAATATTTTTTTCTAAAGTGAACCATTAAAAAGACGTGATTGAAAAACTAAGAAACCAATAAATTTCAGGGGTTTTGGGGGTGGTACGGGGGAAGCACAAGAGTTGGGAGGTCGAAAACTTAGATTCTTAACCACCAGATGACTGTCTATGACATGCAAAAGAAATTGGAACTACTTTCTCATTTTGCAAGTTAAAACCCTCTATTCCCTGGACTATGCTGTTTGCAGAGTTTTAGGCCTTTTCCAAAGCATTCGGGATTCTTTCCTGAGCTTGCAGCTCATATGGCACAGGATATATAGGTTCTCCCACCATTGAAAAGGGCCTAGAAATCTTTAGAGTACTGCGAGGCACAAGAGATTTTGTTGAATACATCAGTATAACATCATGTAGAAATATGTACACTCCCTCAAGATGGATACAGATACAGAGCTGGGTGTATGTTTACCTCGATGTTTACACTCATATTTGTACTCGCACTGAAAATAGAATGGAGCACCAATAATTGTGGGGGCTTAATTTGAAAACTTTGACCATTGGGCACACCTACCGATTTCGATTATTCCTCTCTTCTCTTCAGATTTCCTTCTAACAACTAAATCACCATCGGAATCGGTTACGGTGGGTGATATGGGATAGATGAAAGAAAATTTGGAAACGACATCTAAACGAAATAATTAGAGTCAATTGAGAAGAACACACGACGTCTTACTGCAAGGATCCACTGTCGGCTTTGAATCGGTTTCGTACTCAAATTCTGAGTACAACTCCGATGACACCTCCATCGAATTTAGGTTAACTTCTTGGTTAGTCAACCTTAAAGCTCATCTCGTCGGACTTCCTTCCTGAGAAGAAAAGACGGCGTGTGTAATTTATTTTTGGAAAGTTAAATGCACGAGAATAAGGTTTATTTTTAAATTTCATACGTCATTTATGTCAGATGCGCGAACCAATCAAAGCGCCACACGATTTTCTGCCACGTTGTGGTAAGATTCGCCTTCGTTTGGTCACTTTGTTGGTTGTCACTCGAATTAAATCACTTTAATTGTGATCTTTGCGGGTTTTAGTGGCGGTTGCTGAACTTTAGACAAAATGAATTTAATTTTTACATTTTGTTTAATTTTTGTCTCAATTATACCCGCGTTTAGTAACGACGAAGAGGTTAAAGTTGATGACGGCGTGTTAGTATTAACTCAGAAGAATTTCAAGAGTGTAATTAGCAGTAACGACTTCGTTCTTGTAGAATTTTGTAAGTATTACCCTTTTACTATTTCTAACAAATTTGGCAAGACACAGGGCGAGCGTGGTAATTAGGCGCCAGGGTCGGCACCGAAAATTTGAAAGGGTGTCTTTGAGTAAAAATTGCATATGCGGCATTTTCCAACGTGTTAATTCCTTCTTACTTTAATTTTTAAGGTCGATAACCTCATAATGCCGCGTGTCAATTCACCAGACATGCCTCTCCAGTCTCCAGCTCCCAGTAGTCAATCACACATCCTCAGACCTCAGACAGGGAAATCCTTGAAGAAATGATGTAATAAAACCTATCAACCCACAGCTTGATTAAGGCATGTCGAAATTGCCTCGATAAAGCCATTACGATTGATTTATCTTTTACTTGCAAAGGTCTATTATTTTAATTGAATCCCCGTTGTGTTTCGACCTTCTTATCACTTCTGTACGATTTTCAAAGCGCACGAAACCTACCACTTATCACTACGGATGTAATACTTGATAAGGAATCAATGTCTACGTTTAATTGTCAGAAAATTGAACGATATCAAACCGTACGTTGTGGCCACAGCCGTGAGAACATGATTGTGGGTTGATGTACAAATTCGGAAGGTTACCGGATCGGCATAATTTTGTAAAATGCATATATACCGAGTGTTCATTGAACCATTTCCCAAAACAATAAAGAGGTACTTATATGTTCATTCGTTTCGAATTTTATCGTGTTGCATTGCAGTCAACTTATCGACTGTAATCTCTTCTGTCCTATACCATAGAATAGAGCACCTGAGCATAGTGCCAGTATGGCAGTTGTAAGGTTAAAAATATTGAATTTTTTTTCAGAATTTGTAGATGTGGCACATACTGAAAAACTTCATCGGGCGTAGATTTAACGGTGTTTGTGGAATGTTTGTATACCTATTTAAACAAATAATGTGTGAGAATTAGAAGTATTATAAAATAGATTCATTTGTTTTTAAGTATACAGGGTGTCTCACGACGAATGCCCGCCTACGGTGGACTTGACTTGACTTCGAATCCGGGTTTGGACATGGATATTTGTAAATGTATAGTGGTAGAGCAGTCTGAAATCCCGCCCACTCAAAAATAAAGACAAAATATAAAAAATCGGGTGCAAAATTTTTACCAAAACAGCTTTTTAGCTCAAACCGGGTTTTAAAAAACTTATCTCTTACATTCTTTATGCTTCATGGACACGCCCGACATTTTAACGAAATTAAAATAACCGTTTTGGCGGAAAAAAATTCGTTTTTTAACTTTGACATTTTTTTCATCGCTTTTTTTTGTAATGAAAAAAGCAGGGAAAAAACACTATAAATCAACTGAAAAATATTACTATGTGTAGATATCCATGCTAGACTAGATTATTCTATTCTATATTCAACTTTTTTTTCAGAACTGCACAAAATCACTGGCGCAAACAGATTTCAGTTTGGCCGCTAGGGGGCGTTTCTCGATTTTAGTCGAGTTTTTTAATACCCCATAATTTTCTTATTATTAAAGGGTTTAGGCAAAATCTTAGAGCATTTTTTTTCTGTAGAATCCATCACGATACAGCTTTTATACAGGGTGTTTGGTTTTTCTTGTACGATCCTAAGCTACATTTTTTCATACGAACCACCCTATATAGTATGAAGTTTTTGAAAAGAGAAAATTTCCTAAATTTTGATGGTACACTTATTATATTAATAATATTAAATATTATTTGCAATATTGCATTTTATATACATCAAAATATTTTCATGGCGAACAAGAGATAGCAGGATTGTTTAAAATGACAATTTCTTGGTTATCTGGAAATATTTATTAGTTCCAAATATTTTTCATTTCAAATAACACACACAACACAAAGAATGTAAAAACTCATCTGAATAAAACAAATATCATACAATATATAAATAAGCAATACAGATAACCAAGAAATTGTCATTTTAAAAAATCCTACCACTATTGTTCGCCAGTGAAATATTTTAATGTATAAAATGCATAAAATAATTAACAAGTGATACTTGGTATATCAAAATTTAGGAAATTTTACCCGCCTTCAAAAACAAAAACGTATGAAAAAAATTAGTTTAGGGTCGTATAAGAAAAACCAAACACCCTGTATAAAAAATGTTTATCGCGATGGATTCTACATAAAAAAGTGGTCTAAGAAAGATTTTGCCAAAATATACATTTTTAATAATAAGAAAGTTATGCGGCATTAAAGAAATCGACTAAATTCGGGAAACGCCCCCTAGAGGCCAAACGATTAGGTATAGCTGAATTCCGTTTGTGTCTGTGATTTTCTCTGTAAAATTGAGCTCCAGACACCTAGGTTAATTTTTTTCTCTCTTAAAATAAAGTGTTTCCATAAGGAAGTGTTGATTTTGGACCACCCTGTACATGAATACAGTGTTGGGTACGAGTAAAAGTACATTATAAAAAAAGTATTTGTGGACTGAGTACTTGAGTACAAGCTATTGTACTTGTACTCAAGTATCGCACAGCATTGATACAGACAGAAAAAAATGTTGTTTTTTAAAAGTTTCTTAAAATGATCTAAAATGTCGACATGTAATACAATTTTGACTGTCTAAAAAACGGTAATTGCAATAGCCACCTAACTCGTACTAGGAACTAAATACACACTGTCCAAGATAATGTTCTCTATCATGAGGATCTCCATAGAAGATATGCCGAAACATTTCATAGAAAATAGAAAACTGGGCGAATAGATATTCTGGTACGATTAGGGCGTTGGGCTGGGTGGATCATCCTGTTGAAACCAACAGTTTCCAACTTTTGTTTTTTCTTTGTGCGCTGTATAGCACTGTATTCTTAATAAAAAAAATGCTACTCAATACAGTGTGTACTTATTTCACCGCCCATATAAAAAAATAAAGTTGATGATCATAGTTTTTTAATTTTTTTTGTATCTGTTTAAAAAACATAATAAATAAAAAAATCGAAATCTGCAAATTTCGCTTTTTCTGGCATATCTTCACATTAATTGCGCATCTTTTCTCTAATTTGACCATCGTCATTTCTTCTATGGGTAGGGAGATTCCCATGATAAACATCCTTATTTGGACCACGGTATAGGTATAGAGGGTGTTCCCAAATAAAGGCAAAATAAATAAATGTTTATACAAATAAGCCAATGAATTAGCCCCTTCCATATTTACATCATATTTAGGAACACCCTGCATATTACTTGATTTTTGGATTCTACATGAAGCATATTCTTTTAATAACATTCTATACCTAAATTTAGTCGTTTCTCACATATTATATTTTTATGTGAAAAAGACGGTCGCAGCTCAAATTTGCCAATATGTCTATATGAGACCTTTTTTTTATTTAATGGAGGCCGGTTTCATTTTAAAAAAGGGTTCTGTTTAGTGCACTTTGTTGATATTTTCATTATAAATAAATACAGCGAGTTTAAAAACTAACATTAAAAATCGAATTGAAAACATCGTTAAAACTAATTTTTTTAATGGAAAGTACAAAAATAAAGGTGGTCTATTCTAAAAATTGTAAAATTTCGAATTATTGGCTATTTAATATTTTTTCTATTGTAAAAATGCTTATTAAGTATGGTTTTAAGAATTTTTGTTAGTTGGCTATTTGGCAACAAAAAAACAATCGAGCACCAGAGAAATGTACCACTTTTACCTAGGGCTAAATCATTTCAAATTTTGTGTATACTAAAACTCAAAAAAATTTTAGAAATTTCTAAAAATTGTATAAAATAATAGTGTGTGCATGTGCGTTGGGAAAAATCCTAGAAAATTCAAGAGAAGTTAAATAATAACAAGTCTGATAAGGAACAAACTGGCGACTATGATTTGTGCTGCAAATTTCATCTTTGACATAAAAATTAAAAAATGTCAAAAACTGCTAAGTACATTATACATGAAGTGTATATGTACTTATATAATTTTATGTAGAATCTAAAAATGAAATAATATATAGGGTATTCCATTTAAAATAAGAAAGATGACAGCAACTCCCAGTATAACCAGACGATTTTTTTGACAAATTCTTATTGACATTAGTATACTGTCAAAATCTTCTTTTCGAGATGTAGATAGTCTGCATTCGTCCTGGGACACCCTGTATATTTAGCGGCAAATTTTTTACGTTTCCTGAAAAAGCATGGAAGGAGAAAATTGTCTTTTTCCACTTTAAAGTGATTTTTAGGAAAATTTCTATCCAGTATATTTATTTATATTTATCACTTCCAAGAAACACTCTAACATCCGTAATTATGAAATTCAATACTTTTACTTTGTGCCAACTGTTTTTTGGTAATATTTAAAAAGGGTTTATCACCTAACAACGTCTGTTTAGAATTCTACCTTTCCTACCTACCTTGTAGAAGCAGGAATAATTGAACATGAAATTTGTATTCAAAATTTTATTGAAATCATATTTTTTAACACCCTCCGTGTGTCATTGTTCTCCTAAAAGTAGCCCAAAAGGGAGGAAGTAGATCCAAATGGACAGACGAACTTTTTTTAATTAAAAAATGCCCTAAAAATTTGATGTGCTTGTCCAAAGAGATTGGAACGTGTTGATACAATTGAGCACTAAATGAACAATATTCCAAGAAGGCATTTAAGTATATGTACTTATAGAAATTGAATTTTAAATAGCTCCAAAGGGTCATACTCAACATTCCATAAATATTTGAAGCAGTTTATAAATCAAAAATCTTAAAATTTTGTTGGCGGGAATTTGTCATTCTGTACTTCTACAATTTTAAAAAATTGTCATTTTAATATTAAAAAAGGCATTTTAATTTTTTTATCATGTTATTTAAAAGTCCAATGGGAAAAAAAAATTATTGCTCATCTCCAATGCAAATTTTCCTTAATGTACATCTGTGGGAATTACACTTATTGTAATAAAAGGTTGTTTGTAAAGTTTGAAAACTGTGGAAAATTCTGTAGTACTAACAATAGAAGAGCAAACATAATAAAAATATACATGGTGTTTTCAATATTTAAAGTAATTTTTTTTTAAACAGAATCTTCGGAGAGAATCATCAATCTTCACAAGATTGTGTTTTTCTAGTACTAACAACAGCATCATTTAATTCTAGATGCGCCATGGTGCGGCCACTGTAAAGCCCTAGCACCCGAATACGCCAAGGCAGCTAAGTCTCTAGCCGATTCGGGATCACAAATCAAACTAGCCAAAGTAGATGCGACCGAAGAAACATCGCTGGCAGAGGATCACGAAGTGAGGGGCTACCCGACACTGAAGTTCTTCAAAAAGGGAACCCCAGTAGAATATAGCGGTAATTTGCGAGTGCAAATAATTCGGACGTAATAGTTAATCTCCACTTGTATGTTTAGGTGGTCGATCCGCCGATGAAATTGTCAACTGGTTGAACAAAAAGACTGGCCCTCCGGCGAAGGAACTTAAGGATGTCAAGGAAGCCAAATCTCTGATTGATGATAATAATGTGGTCGTGATCGGTTTCTTCAAAGACCAATCTTCCGAAGCAGCCAAGGTGTTCTTGGATGTTGCAAGCTCTTTTGATGATTTTCCATTCGGAATTACGTCAGATGAAAGCATTTTCCAAGAACACTCTTGCAAGTGTGGTGATATTGTATTATTTAAGAAGGTAAGTGTGCTCACTTACATTTTCCTGTTTATACTCACTAGGGTCAATTGCAGTTTGACGATGGCAAGGTACAATACGAAGGTGAACTTAACGTAAAGAATCTCAAGAAATTTTTGTCTACCGAATCGTTGCCTTTACTTGTTGAATTTAACCACGAAACCGCCCAGAAGATCTTCGGAGGCGAAATTAAGAGCCATCTCCTACTCTTCTTAAGCAAATCCAATGAAGAAACTGCCAAGATCGAGGAAGCAGCGCGATCGGTCGCGAAACCCTTCAGGGAAAAGGTACTCTTCGTCACCATCGACACCGACGAAGAAGACCACCAGAGAATCTTGGAATTCTTTGGAATGAAGAAGGAAGCCGCCGCCGCGCGTTTGATCAAACTCGAAGAGGACATGTCGAAATTCAAGCCCGAAACTAATGAACTCACTGCGGACAGTATTAAGAAATTCGTGCAAGACTTCTTGGACGGCAAAATCAAACCACACTTGCTCAGCCAAGACCTTCCCGACGATTGGAACAAGAGTGGCGTTTATACGCTCGTCGCCAGTAACTTCGATAGCATCGCGCTCGATCCCACAAAGGACGTCCTGGTCGAATTTTACGCCCCCTGGTGCACCCACTGCAAACAATTGGCGCCAATTTATGAAAAGATCGGCGAACACTTCAAGGACAACGATGACATTGTCATCGCCAAGATGGATTCGACTGCTAACGAATTGGAGCACACTCGTGTCACTAGCTTCCCTACCATTAAGCTGTATGCTAAAGGAGAAAACAAAGTGATCGAATACAGCGGTCCCAGGACATTCGAGGGAATTACCAAATTTGTCGAAAGTGGTGGCTTGGATGGAGCAAACGTTGAGGAACCATTTGAAGAGGATAGTGAAGATGATGATAGTCCAAAGAAAGACGAGTTGTAATTTTTATAGTTGTAGATCTGTTTTTTTTTGGTTTTTTTAAAATTTACATATATTTTCATAACTCAAGTGATTTTTTTTGGAATTAATTTTTTTTAATATACATGTGCATTATGCTTCCGACCTCTGCTAAGAGGAAATTTTTGATCTTACCTCCTTTTGGAGGATTTGTGAGACTGGTTGTGTGTATCTGTATTATATTCTTCAAAGTACCATTCTTCATGTGGTTAGTTTTAAGTTTCACATTCCTTCTGTATGCAAAGTTCATTTATATAATATATATTTATAAATAGAAGAAGTTAGGGGAATTTCAAGTTGCAGATTTTCAAGACCGCCACACGATTCGATATTAAATACTGCAGTAGTTGATGTAAAAAATATTTTGTGAAATTATGAATGTATTAACTTCACGTATGTGAAATGAAAAACTGAATACATTACTAAGCTTGTCTTTGATTTATAAATTGGGTGGTTTTGTTTGCTTGTTTTAAAATGGGTCTTCGTATTGTTCAATGAAGTCGCTCCCAGATTAACTTTGTGTTGTACCGAGCACTCACCTTCAACTGAAAGCGATAAAGAAGTAGATTCTTAGAAACTTGCCTCAATTCCCTTTGTTTTCCTTTGCTAGAGCAGTCCTTGGCTCTTCGCAAGCTCACTCCATCCTTGAAGCAATTGTGTTCTGTTCATTGTGGCCAAGATCGGTAAAGTGTATAGGTTGCCTGGTAACTATGTGGGCGGAAGCGGGAGGAACGGGATGTGTACATCACCGGGAGGACAGACATTGACATTCACTGTTGTTTGTAGTTGCATGGGTGTTTTGTGAAATTTCCTTGGGTTATAGTTTATTTGGTGACTGTGTGAGGACATTATTAGCTAGAGATGCTTGTTTGGTGCAATAGAAGGACATTTAGTTTGTGAATTGTGTGTTTTCATAGCTGTGATTTAAGAGGTAAGTTTGCCAATTATATGCATTTTTGTATGTTATAATTAAGTATTTTTTAGATGAGTGGCGATAACATTTGTAGTATAGCTACATGTAAAAGCATCTCCAAAATTCCTGGTCCGGGTGTAAACAGAATCTCGTTTTTTACGTTTCACAAAGGCCCTTTGTTAAGGAATGGGTAAGAAGTGTTGCGGTAAGGATAAGCGGACGCCTAAAAAATAAGCGAATATCTGATTATGAACATGAACTGCAAGCCAGTTTACTGAATTATCATCTAAAACAGTTCGCCTTGCCAGCATCCACACGCTCACTTCGACGGCAGCGCTCGCCGCGTGTAATTCGGCTACCATTTTGTACTGTTGTACATATTGTAAATATATTCCATAAAACGCAGCAGCATTTTATTTAACGTCGCTCGCTATAACTAGTGTCTAGCGTTTGAATTCCTAAACCCTAGGTGTTTATACATTGGGCGTGATTCACATCGCGAAGTCTTCACGTAATGTAAAATGGCTTACGCCCCACACTCATTTTTTCAATACACTGCTGATTGATTTCAAAGGTGTAGATCGATAAACTTCCAAGATTTCCAATATAAGAACCACCCTTAATATACGTATGCATACATACTAAAAAAAATCCAAAAATCTACTGCAAAAACTAAATTTTTACCCTTTTTACCCAAAATCGTCATAAAACCTTCATTTTCATGCCTACTTTATGTCAGGAAAATGTTTCCATGACGGAGGCAGAGGAGTCTACTTTTGCTGCCGCCTGTCACTTTAACCGACCGAACCTGCTATGACTGCCGCACCTGTCACATTGTTAAATGCTTATAATCACTCCTGCCATCATTGATAGATTGCCATTAAACAAATGTTTATTTTTTATTTTATTTTATTTTCTTTATTTTTGAGTGGGCGGGGTTACAGTCAACGCTGCTCTACCAACCCAACCCACTATACATTTACAGATATCCATGTCCGAACCAGGGACCCTTAGCACCACAGTTCATCAGCTTTAACTGAACTGCGCCACACGGGGTGTTCTATATGAAAATTAAAATTTTATATTAAAACTTATTCTCATATGTCTATGATTAAAATACGATTTCTGGTAAAATTTAATACAAAATTCGTCAGTAAAATGACATTACTTGACTCGGAAATTACAGTACTCTAATTTAATATGTCCTTGCCAGTAATGTGTCATTTTCCTGATTTTTATGTAAATAACTATTATTAGCATATACGTAACCTATGATCAATTTTAAATGTGTCGTCTGGAAGACGTATTCCCGCCTTCAAAATGCAAGCGTTCCAATATGGTTCAGAGCCTGTTCTTCTCAATAAAGGATAGGACACCCTGCTATAGTCTCAGTTGCTTCACTCGATCTGTCTATCGACATAAATGCAAGTCCTAGGGTTCAGCCGGCTGTCCAAAGAGACTTCTCTACTTGCTGGACCACTTACGCGTCTTCTGTAAACCCAAAGTTCTTGTATGAAGCATAGGTACGCTTGTCTTCTGTACAGTAAATTGCCGGCCTATTAAACAGGTCGTCCCCTTAATGTGCAGCAAATTGCTTTATAAGAAGGTTAGCTCGTCCATGACTGATATACTAAGTTCCCCCATCCCCTGGTGACGACTGTACCGACCTCCTGATCAGAACAAAGAACCGCCACACGAGCCAAAAGCTTGTCCACAACTTCCTCGACTTCTAAGGCTCGAAGGGCATCAGTAAAATAATCTCGACGCCCCCTGGAGGTCAATAGCGAGGGATTGAGCCCCCTCCGTCTCAACGGAACTGGGTCCCTCTGCTTCGGTGCTCTCCCTTACCTGGCCCAATCGGAGAATTCGGTTTTGTCACAAATGTGACGTGCGCTTGAAAGTACTGCCGCTGGAGTGCCTGATAGGATACCTCATAGACACCAAAAAGCGAGGAAGGCCCTACCAGGCTCCTCCCTGCAGAAGAACGTCCTCCATAGGCTCGTACTGAAACCACGATTTTGCCTCTGGAGGTGCCTCAAGATGGTGACCGTGTCATTAGCAATCGTCCCAGTATAACGCAACTTCTTGCAACTCTCAACCGGCTTCCAGGGCCATCGGCACTGACGCACGCGTCATTAGCACAAACGGCGAATAGATGCAAATTCATCCAAGCGAGTGCTTACAGAATCAGAAGCTTTCTCACTTACACCTAATTACTTCAGAGAGAGAACGACGCCCGAAGAACTTCAAAAAGAGCTGTAAGACCTCGGTTACAGCCACCTAAGTTACCTAAATATAAGGTATAACCTATGACAAAACCATACTTTCCTGGACCGGCTGAAGCTGGAGCCACCACCATGAGCAGATGCAATGACACAATATCAAAGTGGAAGGTATCTTTGCTCTAAATTAACCGACCGGTGCCTCAGTGTTTCATCTGCCAGCGATTGGAGCACCCTAGCCTCAAATTCAGATATGTTCCGAGGTGTGTCCGTTGCAACCGCACTGCGTGCACGGAAGAAAGAAAATGTGCTTGAACTCGCGACCATCATCAGTGTAGCGAAATCAAAATACAGCCACAACCCTCCAGCAGTAGAAGTCCATGGCTAAAGAAGAGCCTGACCGACAACGCGAATTTCAGGGTGTAGTGTGGATGAACAGAATCATCATCCCATTATACGTCCGTACACCAACTTACGAGTGTGCCACCCTGTATATTGCTTAAAGGTAGTTCCAGTGAGTCACTACGTAGTTTAATTTTACACAGGATAGTTCAAAAGATCAAAGGATTTGTTTTCCTTTGTGTTTTTGTCAAAATTCTTGTTTATTTTTATATTATTAAAAAATGTTGCAAAAGTAACAGATAACAAAATGATATCATCAGCTAGTAATGTTGAGAAGCAGCCATTTAAAATAATCGAAATACCTTTAACCAAATTTAAAGACGAAGTTATACCTCATCACAGACAGACTTTCCATAACTATAAGGCTTCTATTGAAAAGGTAATTCGATTTAATTACCTCTAACAATTTTAATGTTCGCGCTTTTTAGTATATCAGCGAGCAAAATTCTGCGGAGATTCAAAAAGAGCTACGGCAAAAAAGTAACGTAAACAATCAACTAAAAGGTCTAATTTACGAGTTGGATGCTTTAAAAAATCAAGTGCAAGATTCCCAAATTGACCAATTTAACAAACATGCCACACCATTAAGAAATCAAATTGAAAACTTACTTAAAGATTACTTAGGCAAGTAGTAGGTGCAGGTGGTTGAAGTAATCATTGGGGCGCTTTCAGATCTGGAACTTGTAGCTAGAAGTAAGTTAAAGTATTACACCGATCATAGCTTAGAGGATGACACTGAAAATCTGACTTTACAAAATTGTCAGCTAGAGTTAGAAGACGACTTTATCGATTTAAATGACGAAGAAAGGCAGTTACGGAGAATTGAAGATTTGAATAGAGATATTCAAGATGTTCACACCATTTTTGAAAACCTTCAAGAACTCGTTGTAGAGCAGAAGGAGTCCGTCACGGAGGTGGAAAGGAATATAGAGTCTGCTGGGGTGAATGTAAAAGAGGGCTTGGTAAACCTAATCAAAGCGGCAAAGTACTATATTGTGATATTGTGCGATATTATTTTACAATTTATTCTTTTAGATTAAAGGGCGCTTCGTATGTTGTTGCAGGTACTTGTATAGGGACAATGGTTGGCGGCCCCATTGGATCGGTTGCAGGATTTAAAATTGGAGCAGTTACTGCGCTTGGTTGTGGAATTTTGGGTTATTTAGGAGGAGATTTCATCAAGAAGAAGAAATTACAACGAATTCAAAAGACTGAAATGGAAATGAGCCAAATAGAAATGGAGAACAAAGCTGATTGTGATGACGAGGCGGGTGCATCTTGCAAGAAATTGCTGTGATTTGTTTCTTGTCTGTTTGCTTAACTTGTATAGTAAGATTGTATATACTATTTAAAGTGCTTTGTCCATAATTGAATCTGTAATTTTTCATATTTCTAGTATTACATTACAAAATAAGTTAATAAGTTTCCAGTTTATGACCTTGTATTTCCACAAGTTCTTAAAATCCCAGAAGTTGGTTAGTCCTTTCATGCAAGAGCTAACACATAGATAAGTAAAGAAAAGGGCTGCAGAAGAGACCAAAACACTTTTTTTTCCAAATAAACCATTATTATGGACATTATCTGCGTTTTGTTTATTCATGGTAGTCCTAATTGTTTACAGGTGAAACTAAGGGCTTCACATAGGTCTACTTATGCTCTTTTTAATTGTATGAATAGTTTTACAAAATCCCTATCACTTGTCTCTAAATAGTACTAGGATAAAAAAATTGATCTACATTAAAAATGTGCTGTAAACAATAATGCGTGAAAATACACTTTTATTTCAGATATATAAGATATAAATAATCAAGCACTGAGGTAAAAGGAAATGTGAAGAGGAATGTTTATTAATCTTGGGTAGTTTTAAACTGGGGATGTATAGGCAACTAAACTCGCACGGTACGTTTCCCTTGTACCTGACCGAAGGAAATTGAACGAATTAGAATTACCTACTGAATGAGTAATGAATAAATATGATTTTTATTAATCGACTTATACCTGTTTATAATTGATCAGTTTGTGTTACAATGCAATTATTGTGCGCATCTTTTAACGATTTTTTTATGAGCATTTTAGGCAACGTTTTGTCAAAGGTTTTATCTTTAACCACAGATTAAAGTGGAGGGTAATCTGTGCTTTAACTATAGCTGATACCAAGCAACTCGATATATATATCGAGATATCTGGAAAGTTCGCTACACAATCAACAATCACCAATCACCAATTTTCGGTTTTTCGCATACTCAAAATGTCGTGAACCCATTTCATCTTGCGTTTTTGGTTTTTTTGCTCTTCATCATCCATGGAAATTTCAGCTAAATCAGTTTATTTAAACTTTATCCATCTGTTCTGGGATTATAACTGTCAATTCTGACAGCCAGGTCCGTTGGTGACGTTACCTATGACTTAAACGCGGGCAACATTACAAGTATAGGGATCGAGCAATCCTTATAACTATATATCATCCTTGGTTTGACGGCATAATGAAATGACAATCCATTATGCCCTCGGGCGTCATAGACTGCTTTATATATCTCATATGACAGATATAATTGATAGGTAGGTACATATAATGGGCAAATGAAAAATAAAGAAATTTGATCGGGATGATTGGAATCAACGAAATTTTGTTGTTCTATGTCGCCTTCCGATGGGACGTAAGGATAGGATCCAGTCTTCTTTTTAATATATGGGTATAACCTTACTTACATTGTTTAGATCAGCGTAATGCAAAGCAACTAGGGAATGCAATCCCGCAGCAAAATTTCGATCCCGGTATTTGCGGGATCATTAGATAGTACCTAATCCCGCGGGATCCCGGTATTTGCGGGATCCCGCAAAATTTTAAAAACATTCTAAAATAAGCAATGTTGTTCAGTTAACAAAATATTCTCAAGAAAACACATTGTATTTCGCGGAAAGAATGCATCACATCTAGGGAATGCAATCCCGCAGCAAAATCTCAATCCCGGTATTTTGAGGATTGTTAGATGTTAATCCCGTGGGATCCCGGTATTTGCGGGATCCCGCAAAAGTTTAAATAAATTTGCAAATAGGTACCTAAGCAATTCTGTGCGGTTATAACTTCTGTATTAAAATAAATCGCTAATTATCACAATATTTAACAAAAAAGTACCTTCAGCCTAACTTAGAACTCAAAAAAAAGGTGAACTTCTAAAGTGCCTCAAAAATCATAGTACATTTTTAACGAAAAAAGTTTAACAATTATTTAAACATTAACATCTCAGTTATGCGTTTCATTAACAAAGTACACAGAGTCGTCTCCTTGGTCGCCAAATTCCTCAGTCCCGCAAATCCCGCGGGATCCCGCTCCATTTATGTGCGGGATTCATCCCGCAAAAATGCTGCGGGATCCCGGTATTTCGGGATTCCGCGATCCCGGTATTGCATTCACTAATCACATCCGTCGTCTTTTCTTGTCGTCGGTGAGCAATCTTTTATGGCCCCTTCATGTTTATCTGAATTTCTAGAATATATTCGCTGAAATATTTCCATACAGCCACTTTACTACTATAGTCTTTTATAAACAATCGACGTGACGACTTTTCTACAAGAATAACGGTTCCTGCTTTTTAAAACAGTAGCAAAATAAGTTTGATTTGCACTCACTCGCTGTTTAACAAAGTTAATAACAGATACAGGTTTGCGCGTAATTATTGCATGAATTGCAACAATAAAAATATGCGAAATAATCAAATTCGCAGAGTTGCTAATGTATGGTGGTAATCGTGGTCGATAAATTCTGCAATCCCGCTCCATTTACGTACGGGATTAATCCCGCAAAAAGGCTGCAGGATCCCGGTATTTCGGGATTCCGCGATCACGGTATTGCATTCACTAAAAGCAACCATGGAAAAGGCTGACCGCGTTTTTTTTAATGAATTGGTAGATCTAAAAACCTTAACCAATGGAAATTAATTACTGCCTTCGTCAGTTTTTCCCAAACATTCACATGAATACGAAATCCGACGATACGGTCATCCGAAAAGCTTATGATTGGTCAATAGTTTGAAATGTCAAGCACATTTCAAATTATTGACCAATCATAAGCATTTCGGATGATCGTATCGTTGGATTTCGTATGCATGTGAATCCAGCTTAATGGTCAAGGGCCTAATGGCCGTTTGCACCGACAAATTTAAGCGGAGCTTAGTTTAAGCGTAGCGTAAAATCTATGGCAACCATTGTCTCAATAATCGTTGCCATGGATTTTAAGCTAAGTATATACGCTTAAGCTAAGCTCCACTTAAATTTGTCGGTGCAAACGGTCATAGCTGATTAAAATTTGTACTTTTTGTCCGTCTGCCTGTGTACCTATATGAGAACTCGCGAACAACCTACAAGCACGACAAAGCACTCCACATTGGCATCTCTACCCAAAGGCGTTGTGGTTTTTAGGACAGACGGGCAGAAGACCAAATATTCCAACGATTGATTATTGTGTGTAAAATTGTCAAATTTATTTAAAAAGACTGTCGAACCTCCTGTCATCAGTGTCAATATTTATGCAGTTCCTATACATTTAATTGCTATTGAAAACATCTTCCAAGATGAATATGTTATCAGCAAAAAAAATACGACTGCACGGGATGCAAAGCACCCGATGGACCACAAAAGATAAATTAACGCAATACAAAGGCTTAATAAACCTCTACAGTAAATGAAATTTTCCGGTACCAAATGCGATAAAAGGTTGTTTCAGCCAGAGATAGAAAGATATTGTCGTGCGATTCGGCTATAGCGAGAAAGAAGCAACTGAAGGAGATCAAGCAGTTACGGAAAGATATTAAAGATAATCGCGCCGAGTTGGACAATGCGATTCAGGGTGATCGCCAAAAACTGCGAAATGCACTTGCGGAACACCGAGACTTGCAGTTGGGATTCCAGAACCTCCCTCCTATCGTACGTTTAACAAGAAGCTAATTCCAATTCTCCATGTCATTGCAGAGAGTCATTGATCATCTTCACCAAGGAAATTTTAATCAAAGGAAACTTCTTGACCGAATGAATTACCGTATGAAACAGAAGACTCAAACGCTCATCTCTTTGAAGGTAGCTTGTTAACCATTAGTTATACGTGCTACTCAGCAACATTTCAGCTTGAGTTAGCAGAGTTAGAGGACAGATTGATTTATGAAGGCGTGGAGCCTCTACCGATAGAAGAGCAGGCACAAACAGTAACGGGAAAGGTACAGGACGCCATTCTGAAGAAGGAGGCTGCAATTGCAGTGCGAGCAACTTACAAAAATATACTAAACATCCTGAAAAAGGTTCGCATGATACCTTAGAAATGCGACAATATTGTATCTATACCTTAGGACTCCATTTACTTTGATGTGGTACTGGGGACATTAAAATATGATAGCTTTGTTCAAAGTAAATGTATGATTCGCACAACCGAGTTAGGGCAGTTGGCGACGGAATACCTCGACGATCGGAAACAGGAGTTTAAGGAGCTGGAGCGAATTGTTAAACGAGACATGAAAGCCAGAGAACAATCTCTGAAAATAGTACGCAAGGAGGTGGCAGATTTGACGACTAATATGGGGACGTTGATTCGAAGGGATGTATGTAGGTTTTATTGGCGGCTGTGGGATTTCAGCGTTTCTAATTGTAGAGCGACATAAATTTGGGAAAAGTTGTGGTTCCGCGGTCTAGTGATGACGTGGCGTTAGAGCAAGAATTGGAAAACATCCAAAAGATATTGAAAACTCTACAGGAAACTACTTACGTATCAAGTTTCGAAGATATATGTCCATGGTAGGGTGCAACGGTCTACAGCACATGTACTTTATTATATTATTATTTATGTATAGCTTGCAGGAACAGCAAAAGCAGTCTAAAAGGTTACAAGAACTACTGAAAAAGAGCAAAAACGATCGAGATATACTGTTGAAGAAAAAGGACCACGCGGATAAAATGTACACGACGTTGTTGTATACGATGAACAGTACTACTTTTGAGTAAGTTGACTAAGTTAGACTTCACAATGAACGCGATTTTCCAGGTACAAAGCTGAGAAGCAAAAGTTACTCAATGACATTCAAGCACAGATAAATAGAAAGGACGATTTGAAAGAACTGATGTTGCAGCAGGGCGCGTTATTGGCAAGAGTGCGTGCTGCGTTACAACAGCTTAATCAAAAGTGCGCGATTATTAAGGGAAAAGACACAAAAGCCGACACGAAAGGAGCTAAATCTCCTAGAAAAGCGCCGACGAGTGCCGGAGCCGTCCTTCCTCCGCCCTACTTTGAAGAAGACGGCAAGTCAAAGTCTCTTACTTAAACCTTTCGTAAATCCTCTCTCTAGGCATCAAAATTATCGACCAACTCATACCAAAATTAACTATCCTGGTAAATAACGCCATGGGTCCGCTCGAAGGAGAAAAGAAGGATCAAGCCTACAAGTTCTTCCAGGCACTGCAATCATCGACCTGTACGTCTGTCACGCTTGAAGATGAGGAAGTTGAAGAATGTGGGTCTTTGCGATGTTAACAACAGTTTAATTAACTTTATTTTGCAGCGCTTCTCTCCGACATCGTAATTGAAGACGCGTCGGTTCCAACTTACAATGATATTAAGGCGAAAAGTAAGCAAATTGTCGAAATAGCTACAATGGAAGACGATATACCACCGGCAGCACAAGTCAAAAAGAAACCCAAATCTAATAAGTAGATACAAATTTATACAGATCTATACCATATCACTGAATAAAAAGGTAAACCGCCTATTATCCTTCTAACGCAACAAATTTGTTTCTTTGACTTTGCTTACGTTGTCTAATAACATCCCCATGCTTCCCAACTTTACTTCTCTTACCAAATGCGCTAGGGGCAAGAAAAACCCAATTAGACTTGAGTTCTACCACAGCAAAAACCCGAATGCATTACGCTTGATTATTCTCACTGAGCGATATACTTGCTCAAAACGAAATGATTTTAAAAATCTCCTCCGGATTAATCCCTACCTATATTTTTTTTATTAAATAAAGCTGTTATTTTTAATTAAATCACGCGCTAGTTTAAATGTGTAATCTTGCTTTTCTCAAAACCTTCAGTGAAACCTTGTCCCGCAATTCCCAGTCAGCAGTTTTTGTTATGTAAACCTAATTAAGATAACTTTCTTGATACTTTCGTCAGTTAGGGCTTCTTCATGCACTGTCACCATAACTTACATAAAAAAGTGTCAATTTTACCTGCTCTGTATAAGTCTTCTAAATTAAACTTCAGAAGACATTTTTTTGGTAGAAATATGAGTTTGGGTATAGAACAGTGTCAATTTTGATCCTTTTCCTACAAGGCTTGTGTGCGTTAGTGACCGACCTGTTGATTAAGTTTGGGTTTGAAAGGAGTAGAAGTAATTTTTTTTAATAGAATTATAGTTCGAAAGTACCTTTCGTTTAGAGAAATATGAACTCCTCTACAAGAGCATATATTTTACACTGTACAAACTCTATATGCGCACGAAATTTCATTAAATTTGAATACGGAAGACTGTATTTTTCTTTGACGCGCTTGGCACAATCTTAATCGTGCTAATTAAAACGAACTTTCAACTGCTCTTGTTTAATCTGACTAAAGCAACTTTAACCTGAAAAGAAAGTCAAACGGTTCACACGTAGGTAATTTAATCAACCGCTTTTCAATAAAATATTTCTGTTGTACCCTTCCTTAAAGAGGACCGATCGTTATTTTTATACAAATAAAAAAAATTACAGTACCCTATATAACATTTGGTTGTAACCGATAGTTTTCCTATAGTACAAACCGGTACGGCTCTTTTCGGAAAGACCTTCAAAATGGACAATAGATAACGTAACCTGGATGTCCGGGTGTATTGGTACGTTTTCAATATTCTTTTGGGGATTGCCGCAACTGGTGTAACTTATCGGACATTGAACCGTTTACATTTACTTCATGGCGTCAAGTAACTCTCTTTCGGCATGCAATCCATTAATAGCTCACTCACTCATTTAGGTTGTTCCGCTTACATGACGGTCTCGTGGTTCAAAACCGAATGCCCAGCGTTGGACTTATTCAACTTATTAAATTTGAATACGCCAGTCAGGCAGATATTTTGGATACCTCTTCCATCCGTTCCTCGTAATGATTCTTACTGGGTCTGACATCTTCGTCTGGCCTGCTTTCCGACAATAAACAATTAATTTTGTCAATCATTTAAGATCACATTTACTTGCTACCGATTGTGATTTCGTGAACCCAGATGGGCGGGTGGATGAAATTTAGGTAGGCCTTAGATGTAGATTTCATGAAAATACTTGTGAAATATTCGCTTTAAAGTATTGTAGTAGTAGTATGCCATAATGAACAGTTAACAGTAAATTAAATTAATTCAATTTGATTTAAAAGTAATTAATCATGCAATGGTTATGTCAGTGTGCAGATACTCAACGATAAATTATCAAAGATAAGAAAAACCCAAATAAATTCAATAAATCATGAACGCATAAAATTATTTTGACGTAATGTGATGTGCCCGAGGTAATTACACCGTACTTGTGAATAGTAATATAATTCATTGTCACATTTCAAACGCTTGTGGTGTACTACATAAAGCGGCCTTTTTGATGCATTTATAAGTGTCATGCATTTTACAAGTAAATATTTTTATATCGTTGTAAATTGTCATTAGCGTAAAGTGTATACAGCATAGGTACACATGGGTAGGTTTATATAATATGTTATTTTGACACAATATTTTATAATAATTATATCCTTCGTCATTAATCATAATTAAATCGTTCATTATGCACATAACATACGCACATGATGCAAGAAATTGCGGTTTTAGTTACCCCCAATGAAGACCGGAACACGTTCTTCATTTAGAAAATGTAAGTAACGAAGAAAAGTAGGTACAAAAGTGGTCGCGGGTAATTGAGAATAATTTGGATCGAATTCTTTTCTCTAGCCTCACCCAAATTCCCAATCAATTTCTCAAAGATCCCCTCTAGTACTTGACAAGTTTCTTTTAAGCTTCCCCTACAAATTAGAATGTCATCACATGGCAGTCGTAAAAATAATAGTGCGCAATACATTTGAAAAGTACCTCGTACAGCTAGCTCAAGTTGAAACCTTGTACACGCCCGGCATTCACTACAATGAAAAGTCCCACTACTGACTTGAATATTGTTAAATTGAAAGACACAAGATATTATTCTTGGGCTCGAATAAAAACATCTGATATGAAAATTTTATCTGGGTCGCACTTAGGGTTCGATTAAACACACAGTTAATTTATTTGGCAACCAGAAACTTAAATAATGACGCTGGAAAAAAAGACGCATTCAGAGCTCGTTTTTACACATACCACACATCCAAGCGTTCGATGGACAATTAAAAAAGAAATCTTAACGACACAGTTTTTTTTATAATCCATTAACCTGGTCGTAACAATTTTGCCAACTACATGCTCTCATGCTCGCAAAAAAATCCCGTCTTGTGGTTATTTTCAGTATTAAACGAAATACCACTTCCACGATTAAATATACTCCTTCCTCATGAATTTTCAAATAAAACTCGAATCAACACGTGCCCAGTCAAGCGATTCTATGGTTCAATGGTAGAGCGTTGGGCTATAAATCGGGTGTTCGAACCTGGGTTGAGGTGAATTTTTCATCTGTGGCTGAGATGGAAATTACCTTAGACCAGTTTCGAGCATTCTGCCGGCTACTCCGAGTTAGGTTTTCCTGCAGTTTTCCTAATTCGTAAGGTAAATATTGGAGTAGTATAGAACAACTTAAGACTTTCTGCAGAGTCACCTCTAAAAAGCATATGCGGGTCACTCTGTAATTGGGCGCAAGCCTATTGAGGACCCAGAACAAGGCAGGGATAATAAATAAGTAATTAAATTTGGCATGATAAAAATATTTCTTATCACAAACCTTACTTCTAGAATCATATCTAAAATTAAACAATTTACATAAGCGATACAATTTTAACAAAACTTACACAACTACACAGATTTTGAAAAAAAACACAAATTCAAGCAAAACGAACCAAACCTGTGCTGATTCGTAACTAACCTTCTTGAAATTATCTCACGGAAAGTGTCGAAACTAAAAACGTCTCTTTCCACACAACAATATATAGGTTCTATAGGTACCAAACGAAAGCTTATGATGTCAGCATTTGAACCTTCTCCTCTCAATTTTTAAGTCCCACACCAAACCTTAAGGGGCGGAGAAAGTGGTAAGGGTGAAAAATTCAATTCATCTAAGGTTATCGATTCAATTACTCGCCCCTATAAGTAATTCTAGAGGCGCAACGCATAAAACCAAAATTATGAGGGAAAATTAACTTATAATACAGGCGAAATGTACATCTTGTTTGTTGCATATTTTGGAACATATCGATTGACCTAATAATCTCTTATTTACCTACGTTGGGAACGCTCCCTAGGTGGTTACCAAGCGGTTTCAGTAATAGAATAAATAGTCAAAAATAATATCCGTAATTTTAAGAGATTGACATGGAGCGTTTATCTTTTTATTTTGCAACTGTTTACTACGTTAATATAAAGAAGATTAAAGTGGAAAACACGGTATAATACCACGACAGCAGAACTAGGAGCGTCCAGCATCATGAAGTTTTTACTGATCGCGAGTTAGATCTTCTTTTAAATAGCTTTCAGAATGAGGAATGCAGGAATAACGTGACAATACGAGTCTATTGCTGAAAACCCTACACTGCAATGAATTACAACGTTCCGTTGTCGAGATACAGGTCGATATATAAAAGCCGAGCTTTGAATGATACTGAAATGACCTTCAGCTTTCACGTTAAGCGATGCAGGGATAATATAATAAATACCTAAATAAATAATACTCGTGATTTTAAGGGATTAAAATGGTGTGTTTATCTCTTTATTTTGCAACTGACTGTTTACTACGCCAATATAAAGAAGATAAAAGCGACAAACACAGCAGAACCACAAGCGTCGAGCGTCATGAAGTCTTTACTGATCGTGAGTTTTTTTTATTTTTTTTAAAGAAATGATAATTTTTTTCTAGGTGATTATTTGGGCTAAGTACTCCAGCGAAATGTAAGTATCTCGATCGCACCAAATGGGTTTCATGGGTTTAAACTATTTCAGGACTACCTACTTGCCAATGACGACAAGTATGGGTCCTTGTCCGGGTCAATATTGTGACGGCGGAATATGGATTGATGATACGTATAATGATGAACCTTGCTGGTCATGTGTATACTATGACACTTGTCTTTCGTTCGGATGTGATGATCCGCGATCTTTCTGCTTTCTTTACAATGAAAGTTTTCCGATGGATCAATATGCAGTCATAGGGGAATGTGAGCTTAGATGTGATTGTGTTATAGAGATTAACTTGCGTTTTTTTAGGTCGGTGGAATCCCTGTGGGGAAACACCTTTGTTAGACGAGGGGTGGCAGTTAACCGCAGTATGCGATGGTACCCGTAAGTGTCCAACTGGATACATTTGTGCCGAGTCCGTATGTTGCGAGTCACTTCAGACGTCTACTAGTACTAGTACTACTACTACTACAGCTTCATGAGAAATTTCGAAAAATCATTGTTTGCTTTGAAATAAAGTTGTGTCTCCCTTGACTATGGTTTTTGAAGACCTCTTAGTGCAAGTTTTATAACAACTTCGTATTTTACAACTGTGCTGCTCTTTACGTAGGTATCCATAGTTATTGCGACCGGGTTATGACATTGTTGGTACGAATTACGAGCATGAATGTTTAATTAAATCCGTCAAAAAATCTTTCAGTTATTCTAGCAAACAAAGGGGACCGAAGGGGATCGGGACGACGCAATTCGATGCAGCATTGAGAGCTTTCCAGCGAATGGTCGCATGGCATGTCGCTTACAGAGACTCGAGGGGGGATGGGAGCTGTATTCGTCGCTAACTTTCATTACTAGAGTAGGTACTATAAAGGCCTAAGAGCATTATTATTCTCACCTCCACCACATCGGTGCGTGACTTAACAGACTAATTGCTTTAGAATGAGTAATGCAGGAATAAGTTAACATCTCTCTCTTGCGCTGGGCTCTCAACAGGCTTGCGCCCAATTACAGAGTGACCCGCATAATGCTATTTAGAGGTGCCTCTGCAGAAGGTCTTTAGTTGTTCTATACTACTCCGGTATTTACCTTACGAATTAGGAAAACTACAGGAAAACCTAATTCGGAATAGCCGGCAGAATGCTCGAAACTGGTCTAAGGTAATTTCCATCTCTGCCACAGATGAAAAATTCGCCTCAACCCAGGTTCGAACACCCGACCTCCGGATTTATACCCCAACGCTCTACCATTGAGCCATAAAGCCGGTTGATAGTACTTACGAATCTATTGCTGAAAACCCTACACCCCAATGTACTACAACGTTCCTTTGTCGAGATACAGGTCGATATATAAAAGGCGACCTTTGAATGATACTGAAATGATCTTCAGTTGTTCTATACTACTCCGATGCAGGAATAATAATATAATAAATACATAAATAAATAACACGGTAATTTTAAGAGGTTGACATGATCTCTTTATTTTGCAACTGATTACTACGCTAATATAAAGTAAATAAAAGTGGAAAACACGGTACCACGACAGCAGAACTAGGACCGTCGAGCATCATGAAGCTTTTACTTATCGTGAGTTAGATCTTTTTAGCGCATTTTTGCAAATTTATTTGGAGAAAGTAGCTTTTAATCTCACTTTGGCTGGCTGGCTGGTTGGCTGCCCGGCTGGCTGACTGTCTGGATGGCTGGCTGGATGCCAGCAAATGTGGGTGCGTATAAGAACTCTTGTAGAAAGGCAACAGGTGTACGTGTATCTACAAGGTCGTGTAATTTGTCAACTTTAGGGACAGGGCTACATGATGTGGGGTTGGCGACATTTGGGCGTCATCCTCGAACGTAGTTTACTAACGTGAAGGTTTAAGGTTTTTAAGTCCCACACCAACCCTTAAGGGACGGAGAAAGTGGTAGAGGTAAAAAATTCAATTAATCTAAGGTTATCAATTCAATTACTTGCCCCTATACGTAATTCTAGAAGCGGAACGCTTAAAACCAAAACTATGAAGGAAAATTAATTTATATTACAGGTGAAATGTACATAGTGTTTACTTTACTTGTTTGTTGCATATTTTGGAACATATCGATTTACCTAATAATGCCTTATTTACCTACGTTGGGAACGCTCCCTAGGTGGTTACCAAGCGGTTTCAGTAATAGAATAAATACGTAAAAAATAATATCCGTAATTTTAAGAGATTGACATGGAGCGTTTATCTTTTTATTTTGCAACTGTTTACTACGTTAATATAAAGAAGATTAAAGTGGAAAACACGGTACCACGACAGCAGAACTAGGAGCGTCGAGCATCATGAAGTTTTTACTGATCGCGAATTAGATCTTTTTTTAAATAGTTTTCAGAATGAGGAATGCAAGAATAACTTAATAGTATGAATCTATTGCTGAAAACCCTACACTGCAATGAACTACAACGTTCCGTTGTCGAGATACAGGTCGATATATAAAAGGCGACCTTTGAATGATACTGAAATGACCTTCAGTTTTCATATTAAGCGATGCAGGAATAATATATAATATAATAAATACCTAAATAAATAATCCTCGTGATTTTAAGAGATTGAAATGGCGTGTTTATCTTTTTATTTTGCAACTGTTTACTACGTTAATATAAAGAAGATAGAAGCGAAAAACACAGCAGAACCAGAAGCGTCCAGCATCATGAAGTCTTTACTGATCGTGAGTTAGGTATTTTTTTTTTAAGAAATCATAATTTTTTTCTAGGTGATTATTTGGGCTAAGTACTCCAGCGAAATGTAAGTATCTCGATCGCACCAAATGGGTTTCATGGGTTTAAACTATTTCAGGACTACCTACTTGCCAATGACGACAAGTATGGGCCCTTGTCCGGGTCAATATTGTGACGGCGGAATATGGATTGATGATACGTATAATGATGAACCTTGCTGGTCATGTGTATACCCTGACACTTGTCATTCGCTCGGATGTGACGATCCGCAATCTTTCTGCTTTCTTTACAATGAAAGCTTCCCGATGGATCAATATGCAGTCCAGGGGGAATGTGAGATTAGATGGGGTTGTGTTATAGAGATTAACTTGCGTTTTTTTAGGCCGGTGGAATCCCTGTGTGGAAAAACCTTTGTTAGACAAGGGGTGGCAGTTAACCGCAGTATGCGATGGTATCCGTAAGTGTCCAACTGGATACATTTGTGCCGAGTCCGTATGTTGCGAGTCACTTCAGACGTCTACTAGTACTACTACTACTACAGCTTCATGAGAAATTTCGAAAAATCGTTGTTTGCTTTGAAATAAAGTTGTATCTCCCTTGACTATGGTTTTTGAAGACCTCCTAGTGCAAGTTTTATAACAACTTCGTATTTTACAACTGTGCTGCTCTTTACGTATCCATTGCTATTGCGACAGGGTTATGACATTGTTGGTACGAATCACTATCATGAATGTTTAATTAATTCACTAAAACTTCCCAATACTAAGCCCCCCCCCCCTCAGAATCATCTAAAAAAAAACTGGTCGTCCCCGAGTAGTTTTAACTATATTCGAGAAGAGTGTAGAAGACTTTAGAAATCAATAAACACTTTTAATTTATAATCTAGCATGAAGAATCAAGAACCTTTAAATGTTTTAAAGAGCTTTCAACTATAGTTCAAGGTCCTAGAGGCACAAGCGTCTCTACAACAATTTCATAACGAAAAACCAAATCCGTCAAAAAATCTCAGTTATTCTATGAAACAAAGGGGACCGAAGGGGATCGGGACGACGCAATTCGATGCAGCATCGAGAGCTTCCCAGCGAATGGTCGCATGGCTGTCGCTTACAAAGGCCTGAGGGGGGATGGAAGCTGTTTTCGTCGCTAACTTTCATTACTAGAGTAGGTACTATAAAGGCCTAAGAGCATTATTATTCTCACCTCCACTACATCAGTGTGTATCTAACAGACTAATTGCTTTAGAATGAGTAATGCAGGAATAAGTTGATAGTACGTACGAATCTATTGCTGAAAACCCTACACTGCAATGTACTACAACGTGCCTTTGTCGAGATACAGGTCGATATATAAAAGGCGACCTTTGAACGATACTGAAATGATCTTCAGTTTAGACAAGAAGCGATGCAGGAATAAATACCTAAATAAATAACACGGTAATTTTAAGAGGTTGACATGGCGCAATTATATCTTTATTTTGCAACTGTTTACTACACTACGCTAATATAAAGTAAATAGAAGTGGAAAACACGGTACCACGACAGCAGAACTAGGACCGTCGAGCATCATGAAGTTTTTACTGATCGCGAATTAGATCTTTTTTTAAATAGCTTTCAGAATGAGGAATGCAAGAATAACTTGATAGTACGAATCTATTGCTGAAAACCCTACACTGCAATGAACTATAACGTTCCGTTGTCGAGATACAGGTCGATATATGTACATATAAAAGGCGACCTTTGAATGATACTGAAAGGACCTTCAGTTTTCACACTATGCGATGTAGGAATAATATATCAGTCAACCCAAGCAAACATGTCCGTCAAGAAGGCGATGGTTTGGTGTCGCTGTATTTTAGAATTACAGTCTGTGGCAATAGTGTCTGGTGGTAAATATAAACTTGTTGTGCATTTTTTATGTGGTTACCAAGCGTGCTCAGTGATAGAATAAATACGTAAAAAATAATATCCGTAAGTTTAAGAGGTTGACATGGAGCGTTTATCTTTTTATTTTGCTACTGTTTACTACGCTAATATAAAGAAGATAAAAGTGAAAAACTCGATACCACGACACCAGAACTAGGAGCGTCGAGCATCATGAAGTTTTTACTGATCGTGAGTTAGATCTTTTTTTTAACAAATGACTATTTTTTCTCTAGGTGATCATTTGTGCTAAGTACTCCAGCGAAATGTAAGTATCTCTATCACACCAAATGGGTTTCATGGGTATAAACTATTCCATCAGGACTACCGTTTGGCCAATTACGACAAGTACGGGACCTTGTCCGGGACAAGATTGTTCGGGCGGAATATGGGTTGATATGGGTGATCCGTGCTGGTCATGTGTAATCTATGACACTTGTCACTCGCTCGGATGTGATGATCCGCAATCTTTCTGCTTTCTTTATAATGAAAGCTTTCCGATGGATCAATATGCAGTCATGGGGGAATGTGAGCTTAGATGGGGTTGTGTTATAGTGATTAACTTGCGTTTTTTTAGGTCGGTGGAATCCCTGTATGGAAACTCCTTTGTTAGACGAGGGGTGGCAGTTAACCGCAGTATGCGATGGTACCCGTAAGTGTCCAACTGGATACATTTGTGCCGAGTCCGTATGTTGCGAGTCACTTCAGACGTCTACTACTACTACGACTACTACTACAGCTTCATGAGAAAATTTCGAAAAATCGTTATTTGCTTCGAAATAAACTTGTATTTCCCTTGACTATAGTTTTTTGAGACCTTCTAGTGCAAGAACTTGATATTTTACCACTGCGCTGCGCTTCACGTATTCACTATTAGTGCGACAACAGGGCTATAACATTGTTGGTACGAATTACGATCATGAATGTTAAATTAATTCAGTAAAACTTCCCAATACTAAACCCCCTTCCCCTCCGGAAGTATCTGAAAAGAAACTGGCCGTACCGGAGTAGTCAACTAGATCCGAGAAGTCTTTAGAGATCAATAAACACTTTTAAATTAGAACTTAGCATGAAGAATCGAGAACCTTTAAATGTATTAAAGACCTTCCAAGTATAGTTCAAGGCCCTAGAGGCGTTTATCTGCGTATATTCCGTCTAATGAACATACCTACACAAAAAGATGATTTCAGGACGTCTACCACAGTGAGACCATTTTATTATGGGTTTATTGTCGAAACTTAAAAAATTGAAAGTTTTAGTTACAATTTCGCCACTTTAGACGATTTAAATATATGTATCCCGCGACTTACTTAATTCGCCACGAAGTTTTTTCGTTAACGCGTAATGAGGTATTTTTTCCAGCCAGTACATTTATTTTCGCCTTCAAAACAAGGCTTTATTTACGTTTGCAATTGTACCATTTTCCGGTTAATAAAAAGGTGGAAGATTTTATACGACAACTTTTCTTTTCTTAAGCTGCCTTTGTTTTTTGTTCGAAAAATATAATTCAACATCACAATTCTTTACACCGAAAATTTTGATTAGCCCCCCCCCTTTTTTTTTAAATGAAGTACTTGCGATATCTGCTTTATGGCTGAGCATCAACTTCATGTATCTATTAATTCAACTCTGAAAGATCCCCTCTTTTAATCACAGAGTAAATTGTTCACATCCGCAATTAACTTAAAACTGGTGATTTCTAGATTTTGTATTGCCTAGCACGTTCCTTGCACCACCGATCCCATACGCATGTTAAGAAACAAAGCGATAAACGAAAGCTTTGGCTCATAATCAGCTAAGAACTGTAATACTATATCCCTATTAAAACGGATGTAATTTGACCTAACACTCTGACCATGTAAAAAACAAAGACGCATTGATAAATCACGCGCAATAAAATACCCATTTTACGTATTACCTACTGCGGGAATTTCAAAAAATCACATTCAAAATAACCGCTACCTACTTTTCCATTTGCAAATCCAATATTGGCAAATGCGTATTTTTAGCAGATAAAAGGTAATGCTAACACCTGAATAAATTCCATCCGTCCGTTCGAAGTTTTATGTGCATCTATCAATTGTTTCCATTGCCCATAATTTGAACAGTTCGAAAACGCAGATAAATAAACTGCTAGTGCACATAGTTTATTCATATTTACAAAAAAATAGTATAAACAGTTTTATTTTAACAACTGAGTATAGAACATGGTTTTGATTTTACAAAATTGCCGGTATAGGAAGTTTTATACGTACAGCGCTTCATAAGGTAAGAGAACAGAACCAATACGCGAGAAAATCAAGCTCCTTAAGATAAGAATCGAGTGTGCAACGAAACGCTACGGTTTTCCCGGTTCTAAAAACGGTCGTAGCGGAGAACGAAGGACGGCGTTTCTGATATACCTTCACACGCCTAAAAACATAGCTGAAGTCGTTTATGCGTTGGGTCCGTTTCAAATGTAGGATTCGGCGAGTGCAAAAGTAAAAATCGGGTGGGAGAGATTGATTCTTAGTCAAACTATCGATGCAAAACTACGTAACTTTAGCGCGGCATTTTTCGATCGCGTATAGAATTCTTTGCCAGGCCATCAAGGCGAAGCTGTGTTCGAACCGGGGCCGTATTTTTGAAGTTTAAGTAAGATTTGTGAGCCGCGAAGGCGTTTAGATATTTTATTAAATTAAATGGAAGTTATTTACTGAAATTGTATGGGAAAAACGGTCAACCGTAAATACATTGCGAATGTTACTTGCTTAATCCGTGCGTGAATATCTGCGTGTTATTGCATTATTGGATTAGTGTACTCGCCTTTACCATGAAAGCGTTGTGGTCCAAGATGCAGAACGTTCATTGTGTCTATATTTGGAGAGAATAGACGAGTCGGTTTATCAAAACCGTGTACGTCTCTTGTGTATACATGGTGTTCATAGATTTTGTATTAAACGACAACCGGTAAACAAGTTTAAAGACAATTAATTCGGGCTTTTGATAGCTGTTAAATAGGATTTTGTGATTGGGTGATTTTTCTCATTAAATATTGTGAAGTTGATAAGTTAAGTGATACAATTCTTTTGTGTGTGTTAGAATTTTATGTCGCATCCAGAGGCGTGTAAATTTGTTTTTGATTAGGAAAATATACCTGGGGTTCGAGTAATTACAAATAGTATATTATTCAACGAGTGAGAAAGTGGGCAATTATTCACGAGGATAAGATTTGCACCACGAGTCGAAGACGAGTGGCTCGACTCGTGGTGTAATTTATCTGAGTTTATTAGTACAAATTGATAGGGAGTACTGTATGGGGACTAGGTTCAAGGGTGTGGAATCCATTTTGGGTGCTTGGTGGTTGTTTTATGGCCTTATCATTGACAGTAGGCGAAGTCGTTCGTAGACCTGAAATACGGATACTTTCTGCTTCCTAGGGTCACTTACGTTTCCCAGTGACCTGGGTTATTTTTAAATTTTGTAGTAAGCGGCATATTAGCAAACCTTACATTTAAAAATTTGCGATGTTGCAATGTTATACGCGTTTGTACTAAAAAATGGGATAAAATATTGGAAGAAACTATTCTAATTTTGCATGTTACTGGACGATGTGGCGCTTCTGAGTAATTTTACCGGTCGCATTCTAAGGATATCGGTTGTAAATAAGAAGCTTCCATAAATTATCGTTTAACATGGCTTA